AAAAAATCTCCTAGCATCAATTAAGTTAATTAAAAAAACCCATTATATTTGAAATGAATTTCAAATTCCAATGAATAACGTAATCAAATTCACATGAATAAAATATTTTTAAAAAATAGTTTATCAGTAAAAAGTAATTTGTCAAAAGTTGATAAACTCAAGATTAAAAAGCTGATAAAAATTGACAAAACAACCTCGTTGTCATTGGCTTTGAGTTGCATTAATTAAAACTACGTACCATGTTAACAACAATTTATATATCAATACTCGCCAAGAAATGTAAAGATTAAAAAATGCATCCCTGAATTCTGTAAATAACACAATTTCTAAAAGCCTCTCATATGAAACAGTGTATGACATTAAAACCGATCTTCCCAAGTGAATTTTTCGTAGTGACAGCATTGAATATTAGCACAGTAGAGTTCTTCTGGGTCATATCTCTCACTCTAGTTCCTCTGGCATAGTATCACAGTAGTAGATATGAGTAAATCAGTCTAGCTATGTCCTCGACACGTGAGATCGTTTTGATCATGTAATTTCTGAAGCTCCCTTATGTGTATATATAGAAATGAAAATGTCCTACGCCCGTCAGTCGATGGTTTCTCGCGCTCGCGATGCTCTAGTGAACACGATCGTCATTCGATGTTGGTTCACATAGTTAAAGCCCCGTTTGCCTTTGGCTTCTTACTCGTATACCTTAACTCTCATCATCACTCGCGCTTAAACTTGGCAGAAGTCTCTGTATGCCAACTAGATTGTGTAATAACGTTCGGCCTCGCACGCGCTACAGCGCGCGGTGCGTTTCTACGATCGCCTCTCCATTCGGCCCGCGCACAACGTCGTCCCCGGGATCAGTAGCTCTGATCGCTCTCGCTCTTGCTCGTCTAGTATTCGCCTAGTCGTCGTACAGACACGCGCTTGTGCTCTTCGGTGTCACCTTTTTTCTTTAATACACTTAATTACCTTTAATTATTCGTCTTAATGCATTTGCAATTACAAGAAAAAAAAAAAAAAACCTACATATTTCGGCAACTATTTTTTCAACGGCGTTTGCAAAAAATTCATACAAGTCGTTACGTTCAAAGATAAAGCTCGGAAATTTTGGTGTTATATTCGTGGCTTTATTTATTTGTTTAGTGGAGATATTAATGACGAGCGCGCATAGTAGTGAAGTGGTAATAAATAGTCGCGATTAAAAAGAAAATTATCGTGAATGAAGAAAATTAAACGGAAAAATGATCGGCCATTTTATTTTAGTTTCTATCGTCAAGTTCGTTCTTGCCTGACGATCGTCTACACACGCCGTAAGAGGAGGAGAGTGCATAAAAGAGAGAGAGAGAGAGGGAGAGCAATTCTAGAAAAATAGATTCAGGGAGGGAGAGCAATGAGGACAGGGAGGGATAAAAGAGGGAGAAAGAGAAGTTGCAACTAACTATTATTAGTGCAGCGAGGATACAGTGTCTCGTTCTCTATCCGAGCTCACACGACACTCAAGTCAACCAATAGTGTTAGACAAATCATTGGCAATTAAATTTTCTTTCAAGATGACATTTAAAAAAATTATCCTTGGACAAAAAATCACTATTCATTATAAAACATTTAAATGATCATTTTTTTTTCGGCTTTTTTGTTTTTAATAATAAGATCATTATTATTGTTATTAATGCCATTAATATGTAGAGATAAATTTTTTTCAAATGGCAAGTAAATATTCAAAATTACAAACACTTATAGTCAGCAGTTCAATCAGCTGACATTCTCTCCCTCTCTCTCGCTCTCTCTTTTCCCTTGAACGTGCGTGAGTCGCCTCAATGGAACAGCTGATCGTGTTTCTTTGACTTTGCCGCATTCTTCCCCAAGTTTCAGTGCTCTGATAACGTTTGTTTACTCAAAAAATATACATTAAATAAATCGTATTGTTGTTATTCGACAAACAAAAAATAAATCATTCGAAACGATTAATATTAAACAGTTGACGGAATTGTTTCTTTCGTATAACAAAATTAGGTCAATAAATTTCAAAATATAAAAAAAAAAAACACGTATTAAATGTAATTGAGTACGAGGTTAGACCGTGGGAGTGGTCGAACAACCGGAAGTCGAGTCATTCTCTTATTCGCGAGTGAGAACGTGACATGAGAAGGAAAATGACTAAAGTATGAGCGAGAGAGAGAGAGAGAGCGAATTGCGGCAGTTGGGGCTCGTGCCAGATGCGCGTTTACACGGGCCCTGAATACTGTAAATGCACTATCTGGTACGACATCTCTTCTGTCACTGTCATCATCGGTAAATCACAACTACCTGGCTCCACTTGAATTTCGCCACTTTCTCATTTTTTTCTTCTGAATTTTCCATCGTTATTTCTCTCCTTATTTATATTGAATTACGTGAAATGCTTAATTCTTGCAATATCCTGACCAGGATAAGTCACGTCCTTGCCACACCCTTTATATACATCAGCCTGTTATGTTTACTGTAATTCATTATTATATTGAGGTCATCATTCTTTCCATCTTGTTAATGTGTTTCTACACTATGAGAAGAAAGTTATTTTTGGATGAAAAAAATTCCTCAGTGAACAGTATTTTATTAATAAATTTCCACTAAAAATATACTTGTTCATAATTTTTGGATGTTTTTTTTTTGTCTTCTCGTTGGTAATTGAGACTGAAAATGTAGTCTTTAAAAATAATTAATTGGATAAGTTATTTTTAAAGATGATTTGTCAATCAAATAGTTGTAATTGCTTCACATAAAAATCTAAATAAATTGAATATTATTTTCAACTGAAATAATTCAATTATTCTAGACTTTTATTCTAATTTATTATCAATTGTATAAATCAAATCAACCGCAAAATAGTTGATCATTGTATAATTAATTATAAGATAGTTTAGTCTGATTGATTGAAGAAATTTTTTTATAAGGATAAAATAAAATTTATATTTAAATGAATTGATGTTAGTGTTATTTTTAAGTATCATTAGTTGATAACTGTTATGATAATTAAGTTTAAAAATGTAATACAAAATGAGCAACGAAGAAAGAAAAATCATTGGATCCTGAAAAAAAAAAACAAGAAATCGTTCCAAGGACGCTGTAAAAATTGACAATTATCCAAAGGATGCCGCCAGCAACTCAATCACTAAAACACGACTTTGTAATCATAATAAAGCTCATTCGACTGATTTTTATCATTTCATTTCACCTACTTTTTATACTTTAATTATACGCATCTTCGCAATGACCTTTATATTAATTAAAATAATTATTATCAATAAACTTCATCATGATTAATTATCTAAACAAAAAAAAAATATTATGTTCTGTGAATTTCCTATATTACCCTTGTGTTTAATTGAAATCTAAAAATTGAATAATCAATTTTTGTTTAATAATATAAAGATCATTGCTTTGTTTTTACTATATCGTCTTCATCTAATTTGATTAATGAGTACTGAAGTAATAAATAAATGAAGTCAAGGTTAATTATATTCTGTAGTTGCCATTTCTCACTCTTAATAATACATAGTTTGATTAATTACTTTTTATAAAAAGAAAAAAATCGATAAATAATTTTTAAAAAAAGTTAATAAATTAATATTAATAGACTCGATGTCTATGACACAGAAAGTTAATTATTAAAAAATTCTAATACTAAGTGGAGCTAATTAGGAACTAAGTAAAGGTTTGATGGAACCAATCTAGCTAAAATCGATGGTGATAGATCTGAAGGGTAATGGTGACATTAGCTACATTATTAGATAGCTTATGTATGCCTATAATGATTAGAGGCCAAAATAAAGTCATTTGAGCTTGCCAATTACACAGCAAGAGTCGAGATTCATGTTTGGCAGGTGAACGGAATGTTAACTTCTAGAAATACGCTTGAGAGGTTGCTATAAAGTTGCACTTTGATGCCAACCTTCAGTTAAATCTTTTCTACACGGGTACAAATTCAAGTTCTAAGTTTCACAAGGCTTGTTAGTTAAGTAGTAAAATGATTGTTGATGATGAGGTTGGAGTAGTTGAAGCAGTTGAAGAGGACGAAGGAAGATGTCGCTGAAGAAGCCTTCAAGTGACCTTGCTGAAGAAAATCTTTTTTAGAAGCGACTGGCGTGTTGGCAGTGTGGTTAGCTGGTTGTGTTATTCCCATCAAACACGACCGCTATCGACACTGCATTTACGACGGTCGCAACAATCCATCAGGATAACATCTCGTGTTTTTCTCGTCAAGATAACATTGAGGTTCTAAATGTATTTTTTTCTCTAATTGCTAAAAGCTTGCATAAAGATAATACAGAAGTTGTTAGTCAACTTTGCTAGCATTTTGTAGCTGTTTATTGTCTGTTTAAAGGACATGCATTCAAACTGAAACATGCAATATTAATCTAAATGTCATTCTTGTGTTATCGTTATCAGTAGGGAATCAAACTATCATCATCCTTCTTATCCATTTCATTATCGATATTGACTTGGGCAAAAAGTTTCTGTTCATGTGAATTAATTGGAGCAGTCATTGAAACGAGTAATCAATAGATACATTATGAATTGATGAAAAAATAACGTGAGAAAATTTCAAATGAGTTGAACAAGTTTGTAAGAATAATGATGACTTATATAGGTCCTTTCATTTCAATTTAAATTTATTGAGGTCTAAAGTAAAGAATATTCGTCACTAGATAAATAAGACTAGACGGGTTTCATTTTCAGTTTACTCGAGAAAAACAAAATTTATTTGATATGGAAATATTTGAGCGATTAATTTTAAAATGATAGAAGTTATCTTCTTAACTCAAAGAAGTACTTATCTATTCCATTAAGCTGATTATTATAAAAGTGTGTTTATTTAACGAATTTCCCATTTTCTATTCTCTTTAAAATAATGCTCTTATCCTGCTACTGAATATACATGGACAGAATTTTTTATAAGTTAAATTTAATTAAGAAAATTGAATGAATTGTTATATTTAATTTCTTTACTTTTCTTTTTTTTACAGATCTGCTTATGTATCCTTTGGTGGACTTTTGATGAGACTACAAGGTGATGCCAACAATCTTCATGGTTTCGAGATCGACCAAAACATGTACCTGCTCATGAAGAGACTTGCATTTTAATTTTTATCTGAAGTATTTCAATGAGGTGGAAAAAACCAGAGGCAACGTCTCATCTTTGTCATAAAGATTAGGATAAAATATGCGAAAGAGATGTAGGAAAAAATGTATGATAAATAAAAAAAAAAAGAGAACAAAGACATCGTTGTGATACTACTTTATAAATCGATATATCACGTCATATTGCGTGCAGCGTTGAAGCGTAAAATTTTCCATGTTTGTATTTAACGATACTTAAATTCTTCATATTAAGTAGAATTTAGTAACCGCTGTACGTAAATTAACAATGTCTATTATTATTGTAAGCATTTGACGAATCAACTGCCAAATGTATTAACCAATCAAATGACTGAATTATGTATAAAGTATATTTCATAATAATTTTGCAATATAAATTATTAAAAATAAAATAAATTTTTTATTGAAATGCAGTTGTATGCAATTTTTGGATGTATACCAATATCTTAAATAAATGACTGCGTCGTCGAATCTAAATGCGATGTAAGAACCTGAAAATAGGTGCCAGGCACACACGTTGCATTTCTTTACCTCAACTGTAGCAGCAGATTGCATTAAAAATGTTACTGTTGACTAAAATATGTAATTTTAAGTGTTTACTTGTCATGTTCATTATAAACATTTCTAAAATTTGTTTCTTTTATGTTACGTTTATTTTATAACACTCGGTAAATTTCAAGAAACTGAAAATTCAATTAATGACGTGCAATGTGGTGGAATTTAGCACTTGAGTGAACGCCCAAGCATCATACAGAAGAGCAGGACGTTAGAGATTGATTGGAATAAAGTAGTTATAGAAAGAGAGGATAGATGATTGTTAGCAGTGGGAGATCGAGCTAATTTATGTAATTAAACTAGCGACATTCGTGACCTTGTACGGCTGATCGCGAAGCCCTCGCACAATAGGACACGTGGGTTGGCGCACACTCTTTGCCAGAGGCGCAAAAAAGAGTGATACCAAGATGGCGACGAGGTTGCGCAATCGCAAAAGATGGCGAACACTTAATAAGTGGCTGATCCTAAATAGATTGCCCCAATGACATATAATTCGCTCTTATCTATTCGTTAACTATTACGTAACACTTTTCTGTAAATTATCGATATGATGAAGTTTTGAAAAAAAAAGAAACTTTCATTACTACTGTTTTTATATTTGCTAATTTTCAAGGACATCTTTTTGCACAGTATCGATTTTTCATAATTCATATCTAAAAACAGGAAGAAAAAATGATGCATAATTAAAAACTGACTTTTTAATGAGATACGATAATAGTTTTCTCTTTATGTTGTTTAATGAGTTACTGGTAATTTTTTCAATTGTTTATTCAGTTTTTAATGAACAAGAATTGAGCAGAGAGGCAGGGAAGTAGTGACATCTAGCAAAGCTTTCTTGGTCAGACAGGATAGAGAACACAACTTTGCCAACTGTGATAAAGAGTTCCTAGTCAGCCAAAGGTTTAGACAGAAACCTATTCTACTACCACTGGAAATCAAAGTATTGAATGAAAAAATCTAGTTTGTTCATGACAAAAATAAGTTTCGTTATAAATAATTGTTTATTAAATCTAATTTCATTATGTCAACTTGTCTGGTTAGTATTTATAGTAATTGAAAGAAGAGAATAATTCAATGAATTTGGAGATAATTTCAGAACAATTTATGTAACATCACCTTCCAAGACATGCACATGAATAATTCTAACAACTGTAATTGGCTGGAAAATGAAATAATCATATTCAATTAAATTACAAAGGAAAATGTTAAACAAGAGATACAGAATGATCCCTTTTAATGCACCTAGAGGGAAATGAATCCTATTAAGAATTCATAACTCAAAGGATAAAAATTCCTTAACATAATTCCTTCAAGTTATTGAGTGAAATATTTTCTTCACATCAAAAATCTCTTTGATAAATGGCACAGTAGCTTTATACGTTTTTCTTTGACTTACAAACATATACGAATGATCCTTTCCTTTTTGACTTATAGCTAGGTACCTCAGAAACATCTTTCAGCCATCTTTTTCTACTTACGAATTTTTTGAGATATTGCCATGTTATTTAAAAGCTGTCTTTATCTGCTTCCATAAATATTCCTTTTTCTCTTCAGAACTATTTCGAGTCTAAAGCGTCATATTTTCTTCTATTTCTCAAGCTAAGCTTATTTTACCATGCACATTTATTCACATTTTCACGATTAAACCTATATCACGCTTCAAGCTATCTTTTGTCTCCAGAGATTGTTTCCTGAAACTCTTATAAACGTTAAATCACTTTCGAGTATGTACTTAGAGCCAATCTCTGGAGACTAAGTAGCTTTTTAACAACATACATATATAAGCGTAGTTTACAGGAAATTAGACCAACTACTTCCTCTGGGCAAATTATGGATGAAACTGAGATTAGAGTAGAATACGGATGCCAGTGTATTAGAGTACTTGATATGAAAGCATCCGAAGGAAATCAATGAATGATGACTCTAGGATGGATGTGCCAAATATATGGGCATGTGTATTCAGTGTTCCAGTTGATTGCATCATCAAATAGCAAAGCCTGTCAGAGTGTGTTCATTTGTTCCAAATCAATGCATCACGGGAGCGTATATAAAACTAATAGCTTTCACAGTTGGGGGGCATTTTTCATCCCGCCAACTGATTTAATAAATGAAATTTTTATTTCTTCCGTTCCATTTTTCCGAAAATCAAGATTATGAGTCAATAAATGCATAGTTAACTACATAATTACAAATAAAAGTGAATAGAAATAGTTGTAAGCTATTAAAAAATTAATGACAAATGTATTTAACACTTGTTCACTGACTTAGAAACTAGGTTTTCAATAATTCACGGTGATACAAACCAGATTGACCTCATGTCCGTTCGGAATCTCTAATCCATGGTTCCGCCATGCTCGACACGACGCGTTCACTAGGGCCATCATCGTTATCCCAATCGAGGCATCGACCGAGCGTGCTCGTATGTGCTTTTTCCCGGATGTCGTGCGGAAACTGAAAACAATAAGCAAACTTCCGTTGTCCACAAGGCCAGAAACTCATCCCATCCCACCCAGGATTCCTCTGTCAGCGCAATCCAAGTTCTCGGGTATACCCCCATCAGGTATCCCCCCAATCCACCATCAACACATTTTATGCCCCCTACGAAGTATCATTTATCCTGCTTGGCTCTCCCATGGACTATCATTACTTTCACACCAATTTTTAACGTCAGTTTGATTACAGGTGTTACTCGTGTTAGGTCGCGCTCCCAGCTGTCATCACGCGACTTTATCCTCCCCTTTGACGTTTCATCTTCCCGCACATTAACATTTTATTATTTTGCATATATTTTTCTCATCTCTACGATTCTCTGCATGTTTATTCATGGGCGGGAATCCATTATCGAGAGTGTGTTTATTTAAATTTTCGGCCAACGTGAAATAATACAAGGTAAGGATTTTTTTTTTGTCTTTATAAATACAATTATTAAGTATCAATTGTTTTGTTTGATTATTTTTCAATGTTGACATATTTTATTTCATACAATTGTTCTTATTTAAATAATTATTTACATTTATTTAAATTGAAAATGTCAGTAAACTGTTTTTATCATTACATTTTTTTAATTTAAAATTTTAATCCTTTTAACTCTTTAATAGAAAATCTTGCATTTTTATTTTCTTCATTCTATTTTTAATCATATATTTTTTAATTTAATTATTAATTCCCAAAAGAAGATTTGCTGGTTCATTCTTCTGATTGTCGATGAAAAAAAATTTAATGAAGCCTAAAGCAATTTTCAAATGTTCGATAATTTTTTTTTTTTCATTTCATCAGATAATTAAGTTATTATTGATTATCGTAATGATAATATAACGAGAAATTCCTTATTCTCGCGAGTATAGTTAATGGATGTAATCATCTAACAAAGATGAGTTTAATCAAAAGCATAAAAGAGAATAGAAATTCTCTAGAATAGATAGACTTTTCCCACGTTCATACATGATCAAACTTGCATTTATTTTGAGACAATTTCCAATCGAATTTTTCCGTATTCTACGGAGATAACCTGTCAATTCCAGAAATTGTTTCTTTCCATTTTCCACATAAAATTGATTAATCCCACTTGTTGCCTAAGAAATCAATAACTTTACCTGTACTGTTCTTACACTCATTTCCTCTTCATAAAAAATTAATCGTCGCTCGCTATCTCATTAATCTCGCTTAGGAATTCATATTTGAAATTCAAATTCATCAATAAATAACACAGATGTATAATTATCGGAAAATTCAATGCAAAAATAATGATAATTAATTGCATATTCAGGACATTTTTTACACTTGTAAATATTAAAGTCAGTAAATATTACAAGTTATTGTTTGAAATATAAGTCTACATAAAGCATAAAACACCTGGCGCCTCGATAATGCACTTGGACGAGGGTTCTTGGTTTTTTATTGCTCACTTTATCACCTCGTAGACCTTGGATTATTTTTATTGCCAATTCAAATTTACGGGGTCTTAATAATTAATTTTGTATTTTCCTCATTCCATTTTTATTGTTTAGTTCTGTTTATTCCCTTAATTATTTATTTTTGCCAATTTCAAAAGAAAGGAAAAAATTTAATTAATAATTTGATAAAGTGCTTTCTAACAAATATACATGATCGAGATAAACTGAAAGGGTTACTAAAAACCGTGCGACTTGATCAGAAGAGACAAATGAATCAGTGAAGCACAGGTTAAAAAAAGAAAGATTGCCGGACGTACATTATTGTGTGAATTTACAAACAGTGTCGGAACAAGGGTCTACATCGAATTCCAAATGAGCACTCACCCTGAACATTTCCACACACTAGCCACATCGAGCGTCATCGTCATTTCTCCCTGTGAACACACGCGAGTCTAGAGGACTTGAAGCACACGCCCGCAGAGGCAACAGAGCGTAGTTCCAACTTCCAGGCTTCGCATTATTAACTATCCATTAGTCCTTTGGTTATCACAGCTTTCAGATTTGAGGCTTCACGAAAAAATAAAATGCGCTTAGACTATTTAATGACACGATCTCACGCACGGTCACGCTTCAGTCTCGTCTATGTGCTGATTAATTAATCACTATCTAGTTATTTGCATCTATTTTTAGTTATCAGACGACATTATTCTTATTCAGTTACTGCCAAAAATTTATCACACTTTTTTTTTTTTTATTTCTTTCCTATTTTTATCCATTTTACCTTTTTTTTTTATATTGCTCAAGAGATTGGGATTAAATGTTTTTGTGACAAAATTGAAAAAAAAAAAAAAATTAAATTTGAAGACTCACTAATTCAATCAGATGTTTAAAGAACCGTTATGCCACAGGTGATTGTTTTACCCCTTGTGTCTCTATTATTTATATTAAACAGAGGGTGAAATTTTTTTTAACCCTTTTTCTATTAAATGTCATCAAATTGAATGAAACGGAAGTCAGTGGAACCGTTATAATTTAGAAAAACGGTAAAAACGGAAGTTTACCTAATTTAATTAATTTTTAAATGACAATTTTAGAAACTAGTTCATTCATTCAATCACCCCCCCCCCATTTTTTAAAACTACATTCATTTCATGCATTAATAATTTCCCTTTTATCTCAACAGAATTTATTTAATTAATATATTTTCATTTATCAATCATCAAAAGAATTTCTTTTGTTGAAATAATATTTAATTTTTCATAAAACTATTTCAGAATAGTTTAATTATTTTCCCGTGTATTTAGAAGATTGCAGGTGTTTTTTTTTTTTATATTAAAATAAAGCAAAAAAAAAGGAATATATAAATATTAACACAGTACAGTAATTACGGACACTGAATACAACAGCGATAAAATCGATGTTTCGCATAACATTCGCAGCATGAATTTTTTCTCGGTATAAATAGAAGAAAAAAGACATCAATAATATGACTGGACAATTTTATTTATAGTAATAATAAATGAATTTCTAAAGTGAAATAGTCTTTTGGAATTTCTTAGCGGTATATAGAAATTGAATTGATCGTGTGGGAATTTCTGTTGATGACATGTACGTTTATGCAATACAATGGACCCCACCTCATACTCCCTATAGTACTCTCTCATAGGTTTTCTCAATTCCTCATTCGAAATTAGTTCTGTCGGCACCACCGTGTTACTCGGGGCTCTGCAGATTAAGAGAAACTTTCTTGTTGACATTTTTGACTTTACATTAAATTAAAACAAATAGACTCGATTATTTTTGAAAAATGATAGCAATCATCTTGGTAATTTAACTAAATTTATTTTCATTGTATCCCGTGATTTTCCCCTCGTTGATTAATTTCATCATCAATCCAATAAATAAATGAATTAAACTTAATTAAAATATCCAATTATGTTGATTAATTAATTACTTATCTTCCTATTTACTATTAATAATTAAATAAAATTATTAACATATTTGAATAATTTTGTTGTTGTTTATTTTCAGTTAAAAGAAACAAGTGGCATGACCACTTGATAGTCGTACCAGCATTTTATACTCAAAATGAGAAGGATCTTTAACATGTTCAGCATGGTTCAAGCTATCACGGTTCTGACAATTCTGAAGATGCTAGCAAATGGTAGGTAGAAAAGTGAAGAATAATATCTGAAAATGATAGGTATACATTACAATGAAAGTGCATCAACATTCTAACTATTGGTTACCATTAAAACAATGCCCACTAATTAGCATGATAAAAAGCTGACAACGAAAGTCTACATATCAAAAGAATAAAAACAATTCTAGTAATAGAACTTAGCGACTGCGAAGGTCGTGATCATTGTTTGGAACGATTTTGGTCTTCTAAACCTCATGAATATAATATCATTTTCATTATACTCTATTACTCTGTTGTATTATAATACGATCTTCTTTTTAAATTAATCATTTTTTAAAACTTTTCTTTTTACAGCCCAAACCACGTGTAACGGCGGAACTGGAAGAATAGTTTACGAAAGACTACCGGATCAACAACTCCAAGGTTTTGATGATGAAGTGGTAGGATTATGAAATTCACTTTTTATATATGTACTTTTTTAGTTCAAAGATTATATAGATTATAAGGTGATGTATGATCTCGTGTTCACTCATTTTTAAAAGAACAAAACTTTTACGTAGTTAATCTCTAGCGGATTCATAGACGATAGTTTTTGTCTGCTTTGTTTAGCAATCGGTCACTTTTTAATTAAGATAAATATATTGAATAGAATAATTAATTTATTAGAAAATTACCGAGGATGTTTCTTATGTAACTTTGTTGAATTTCCTCTTTTGGAATTTTATTTATAAAAATAGGATGGCTCAATACTTTTCTTTTTCTCCGCCAGTGAAACTAATCTGGAAGAGTTCCAAACTATCTCAATTGGGTTTCATTCCGGGAAATAATTTTATTTTGTGATAAAAAAAATTTAATAATGTAAAATTTTATATTCAGCAGTTAGTTTTTTGACATATAAAAAATAATAACTTCCCCCAGAAAGTTGTTGAAATTTTATTGAAGTACTCGGAGAAATGTTTTTTTATTAGATTCAAGTAGAAGAATGACAACGCTTTATATCGAGAAAAAAAATGAAGTGTATACAGTAAATGAAATATTGATTTTTAGTTATGAGAACATTTACTAGAATTTAATAAACATTTATTTTGCGGAAAAAAGAACATTAAGCAACAAATACATAAAAATTATGTTACTAAATAGTTGGAATAAACTATTATCGAATAATTAAAATGGAATATTTTATTTCTTAAAATCAATGATATATTGGTGAGTAATTGTAAGATATAAAAATGTGCATAACTTCTATGCAAATGATGCTATAAGGTTGATTGAGGACTCAAATAAAAGGTCTAGACGAGAGGAAAAAAGTAGATATAGTTAGAATCATGGTTAGAGCATAGTTGATGCAGAAATTGAAGCAAGTTCCCATTTTACCCCATTTTAGGGGTGAAATAATAAATTTTTCATATGTTTGACCCGATTCCGCATTTCTACGCATCAAGACGAAGAGAATGAGTGGTCAAACTTGGAAATCGGACAACTTTGATTTTTCGACCCAAAAAAATGGCAAGTGGTACCCCTTTCCATTTTTTTTGGCCAAAAAATAAAGGTACTCCGATTTTGATGATTGAGGGCTCATTCTCTTCGTCTTGATGCGTAGAAATGCGGAATCGGGGCACCGATCGAGAAAATTCACTTTAACACCCTTAAAAACGGGTTACACTAAATACAAATTACGAATTATCATCCCCTTGACTTTAAACCCTTATAACTCATGAAAGGACGGTCCAATAACTGATTTTAGGGACGTTTTAGAAAGCTCAAAATCTAAGCTAAATATACATATCCATGAAAAATGTTTAAAAAATTTATTTCACCCTTAAAATCGCTAAAATATGAAAAAAAATCACATTTTTTTTGGAAGTTGCCAACTATTTTGGCATTTTTGAGGGTGAAGGAAATTTTTAAAACATTTTTTATGGATACGCATCTTTAGCTTAAATTCTGAAGTTTTCATACACATCCTTAAAATCATTATCAGATGATTTGTATAGGAGTTATAGAGGTTCAAAGTTAAGAAGTAGACGATTTTTTGGCCCTCTTTCGACTTTGAACCTCGATAACTCCCATAAAAATCGTCTAATAATGATTTTAAGGAGCCGTATGGAAACGTCAGAATCTAAGCTAAAGATACGTTTCCATAAAAAATGTTTTAAAAATTTCCTTCACCCTCAAAATTGCCAAAATAGTTGGCAACTTCCCAAAAAAATGTGATTTTTTTTTATATTTTAGCGATTTTAAGGGTGAAAGAAAATTTTTTGAACATTTTTTATGGATATGTATATTTAGCTTAGATTTTGAGCTTTCTAAAACGTCCCTAAAATCAGTTATTGGACCGTCCTTTCATGAGTTATAAGGGTTTAAAGTCAAGGGGATGATAATTCGTAATTTGTATTTAGTGTAACCCGTTTTTAAGGGTGTTAAAGTGAATTTTCTCGATCGGTGCCCCGATTCCGCATTTCTACGCATTGAGACGAAGAGAATGAGCCCTCAATCATCAAAATCGGAGTACTTTTATTTTTTGGCCAAAAAAAATGGAAAGGGGTACCACTTGCCATTTTTTTGGGTCGAAAAATCAAAGTTGTCCGATTTCCAAGTTTGACCACTCATTCTCTTCGTCTTGATGCGTAGAAATGCGGAATCGGGTCAAACATATGAAAAATTTATTATTTCACCCCTAAAATGGGGTAAAACGGGAACTTGCTTCAATTTCTGCATCAACTATGCTCTAACCATGATTCTAACTATATCTACTTTTTTCCTCTCGTCTAGACCTTTTATTTGAGTCCTCAATCAACCTTATAGCATCATTTGCATAGAAGTTATGCACATTTTTATATCTTACAATTACTCACCAATATATCATTATTTCATCAATTTCATTGTGTACATTATTTTTACATGTAGAAAATATTTCAAGTACGTTTGGAGTAGAGAAGAGAAATTGTTTTATACGGGTAGAGAAACACAAATTATTACTTGAGATATTTCATTTTAATATCAATTGGATGTTTTAATCTGACAAATGAATGGTAATCATGAGAAAATAAATATAATATTCCATCATCGTGGGTGTTTAGAACAATAAAATTTCTCCAGGGTATAAATTAGTAGTAGTAATAACAATAAATATAAACTGTTTTTCTACTGACAATAAAAATGTTATTTGTCGGTGTGTAGGTCAGAGACACGGCCCCACCCTTCAGAGTTTTGGAAAAATGTCAGGACCTGTGTTTACGTGACAGAGCAGCTGGCAATAATTTACAACGTGCTTGTTCAAGCTTTGATTTCCAGCCTGGAAGTAGAATCGCGTCATTCAGCGGAACAGCAGAGTATGAGGAAAGCACGTGTTATTTAACGAGAGAACAAGCGCAACCAGAAGGAATTGGCAATTTAATGCTCGTACCTAATAGTGTTCATTTTACTGAAGTTTGCCTAACATGTAAGTCAATATTGACAAGTCATATCCACTTATACATCATTCATGAAATTTATGGTAATTCGATGGTATTCAAATGTATATTTGAACATTGAAAAAATATTATTTCAAGAGATTATAGAGATATTTGAATATTGGTTTAATTTTATTTTAATTCTCTTTTATTTCTTATTAGCTAACCGAATCGAAAGGGACTGTCCGAATCGTCGGTACATATTTGAGAGACATCCGAGAAAAAAATTGAAACTGCCAATGACTGATGTCAAAGAAGTTAGTGCCACTAATAGAACAGTTTGTGAAGACAGATGTCTCAACGAATTCAGCTTTGTTTGTCGTTCAGCAACGTATGACGCTGTCACGAGAAGCTGCTTACTCAGCCGTTTTACTCGTAGAACACATCCAGAACTTTTAGAGGATGATCCCAACTCAGATTATTTGGAAAACACTTGTTTGAACGGTAAAATTACTTTTTCAATAAAATAAAATAGCAATGTCTTTTTAACTTATAATTATGATATTAAATTGAAATATTTTTGTCAAAACAGCTGAAAGGAGATGTGATGGCTTAACAGTATTTGTAAAAGAAGAAAATAAAAGATTGCGTGGTCCATTTGAAGTTGACATTTATACAAACCTTACGTTGGATGAATGTCAAGCTTTGTGCTTGAGGGCTGAGAAATATTTCTGTCGCAGCGTTGAGTACGATGAGCAAACACGACAGTGTGTGATATCTGAGGAAGATTCAGTATCGCAAAAAGATGACATTGGAATAAGCAGCAGTCCATCATATCATTTTTACGACCTCGTTTGTTTGGACAATCGTAAGTTGCTTTAGTACTTATTTATTAAGAAGTAAAAGCACTGATTTTTATTTGAGACATCAAATGATGACAGTGAAAGATGACTATTAAATTAATTCAATTCCCACTTTGTACATTCAAACCGTCACATCAAAAATAATTGTGACACTTATGAAAGCCATGCTATTCATCAACAACTCTTTTCCCAACAATTAATTTATCATAACATATTTATAATAAAATTAATTGATCATAATCAAGCATAAAAAACTGAAACATGTTTGGAATACAAATTTATCATTCCATTTTATGAATGAATAAAATTCTTGTTTCACTTTTGATATAAATTTATGACATCTTTAGCTGTATTAGTCTCAAATAATTTTTAATTAACTGAAAAAGCTTATAAATTTTTATAAGATACCAAGAAGTAAAATTTTTTTTTAATAACAATATTGTAGTATAACATCCCCTAATTAAACTTTTATGGATAATTTATTTTCTCTACATCATTCCTTGAAGGATGCATATTTAATTGAGTGGAAAATTAATGCTTTTACCTTATATATTAAATACACTTGTTCATAATACTTTTACAACATTATATTTACATAAATTTATACACGACATTATTCTACATGAGTACGTGACATTTACTCAAGATGTCAGATTAATGTCTTACCAATGTCAGCTTACAAAAAGTAGCTCCTTCCGTAGCACGTGGTTCTGAATATCCGGACAATAGTGTATCACCCCATCTCTACCCGGACAGCAGACGTCCAGACACGGCATTCCAGCGCTACCGGAACTCGCGTCTGAGTAGTGAATTCCACTCTGAGATAACCGGAAGAAGCTTGAGCGAGTGTCTAGATGAATGCTTGAGACAAACGAGCTTCCAGTGCCGAAGTGCTGTGTATTCTGAACACTATCGTACCTGTCGTCTGAGCAGATTCAACCAGCGTGACGGACATAGGATTATTTACGATGCTGATTATGATTACTACGAAAACCTCATGCGTGAGTTGCATTCAATGAAGTTAAATTCCAAGCATTTCCACATTAACCTTAAGTACTTACAAATCCCCTTGTTTTCAGATCAACACATGGATGGAGATAGAGATAATCCTAGCTACAGGCCAGATCCTGTAGGTCAAGATACTAATTTTGGAAGACCTTCTCTTGGACGACCAGGTAAGAAAAAGATTTTATAAATTGCTGGAGAATTACTAATTCCCTAAAAAGTGGTTGAGTCTTGGAAATGAAATTAGGTTAATGAAGATAATGATGATGGTAGCTGGAGACTCAAACAAAAAAATTTTAGTTGGGAAAAGAAATTACTCAATTGATTAAAGTGACGTTGAATTATTTGATTGCATCACATTGATTAATTAGCAGTAATTCAATGTTTTCATTAAATATATCACTGATTTAAATCAATATAATTTCTAGAATAAATATTATTTATATCAAATTAATTATTAAATTATCTAATGAATATTTTAATCATACCTGTTTCATTATTTAATATTCAATCATGTCTATCATATAAATCTCTGATAATAATATCTTGAACTTTATATCCAGTTTAAAAAAATGTAAAATAACTAATTAATGATAATGAATAATTATTGTGATTTCCAGGACATCCAGATGACTATGATAAAGGTTATTCAAATCCTCAAGGAGATCGATACCCAGAGTATCATTACCCTGGAGAACGTTATCCTAACAGCAAGTATCCAAATCAATATCCTGATGACCGCTATCCTGACAGATATCCTGATCGCTACCCAGAAAGACCAGACCGCTATCCCGCCGGAGGAGATCGATTTCCAGCAGATCGATATCCAGGAGGTGATAGATATCCCATGGATAGATATCCCAGCGATCGATATCCAGTCAGCGGTGATCGATATCCATCGAGCGGTGATCGATTCCCTGTTACGGGTGATCGATATCCGGTACATGCAGACCGATATCCACCTCCAGTGGGCGCAGATCGTTACCCACCTTATGGAGATCGTTATCCCATTTCGGGAGACCGCTATCCTGTCTCGAGTGATCGATATCCCGTGGCTGGCGAAGGATATCCCATCAGAGGAGACCGCTATCCGGTCAATGGTGATAATTACCCATTGATTGGGATGCCGGGGTATCATAGATATCCTCCGGGAGGACAACGTTATCCTCCTCCTACGGGACCAGGAAATCGATATCCAAGCCCTGCTGATAGATATCCAATAAGAGATGAGCATTATCCTGCTGTTGGAAACCGATATCCTCTTCCTCTTCCTGATGATTCCCTGAACCGGTATCCCACTGCTGTACCTGGAGTTAACCGAATTCCACCACGCTATCCTACGGATCGATATCCTGACAAGGATGTTTTTCCCAACAGAGACCGGTGAGTTTAAATAAAAATTATTCATAAATATAAATCATTGATAAGAAATTTTATTAGAGATTTATAATTTATCTATTTTTATTTTAAATAATCTATTTAATAGAATTTATATTGAAAATAAATTATAAAATGATAATTTATCATTTTAATTATATTATTCATTATGTTGCTCAGTCTACCATGAATAATATCCAAGACATTTATTTTATTACAGTAAACAGCTTACTCTGTTGATATTTACAAATTTAATCTTTCTGCAAAATAGCACGTAACGTTGCTGTGTAAGATAAAGTAAATGACAAAAACTGGAAACAATGAAAAAAATGTCTGTAAAATATTTCAAGTAGAATTTATCGATTTTACAAACTCACCGAAGCATAGAATTTCCTCGTTAAAGCAGGTAAAATTCCATGTACGAAAATACTAAGCGGTCTTTGTGCTCGACACATAATTATTAAACTTTCCTTGCGCATTTTTTTCGAATTAGTGATCCATCTCGTATTACTGTAAATTGCCAGTGAAATATTTTGACCCTAAAAGAAAGAAAAAAAAGATACACTTAAGTAGAGGTTCAGAAAGGAAATTTCTGTTGTTCCCAAATTACATACCGCTTCATGAATATCGTCAGCTGGTCCAGTTATTATGAAATTATTCGTCATGACGTTGACGAAGTAAAGTAGTGTTCGTGAAATTTCAACGATGTTATTACTCTATAAATAAAACGATAGTATTTAAATATTAGATTGACATGTACTTGATATTTTTATTTAGACATCAATATTTACATAGATAAGCGGAGTAATTCCAACGATGATTGAAATACCTCTGGTGAAAAATCCTTTTAATATGAGAAAACGTAATCCCAAATTCAATTGTTCTACATACCTATCAAATGACAGTTAAGCATTTATTTATTGAGAAATATTTTCTCTCCTAGATCTCCAAGTACTTACTCAATACAGTCTTGATGTTTTTCAATACAGAGAAGCATCTTTTTACGACTATCGACATGTTCTAATTCATCACTTAATATTTCAATTTTCATCAGAGCATTATAGAATAACATAGTCATTAGATGCATTGAAATGATATTTGTAATTACTTGAAGTAGCACTGAGATATGATGGATATAGATTAGGAAGTATAGAGGTGAATAGGATTTGATAGAAAAAGGATATTCACCTGTAAATGGAAACGTATGGACCTGTAGTAAAGGACAAATGATATAGGAAGTTATTCCTATAAGTTGTGCTATTGTTGTTAAAATGTAAAAAGTTGTGTAACGATTGACATGATTATTTAAAATCATCTTCTCTTTCGAGGTTGCAGTTTCTAAGAATTTTATGAATCCAATAAAGATCCTCTGGAAATGAAATTTAGTTTTTGAATCTGTTGTTAAAAATAAAGGAATCTCCATCACTATTGAGATAGAGAGAATGAAAATAATTAATGTTCAAATCTCATTATTTTTTATACTCACTCGAAGTCGATATTTCTGACGTTTCCATATAATAAGATTCATCATGACTTCAACGAGAGTAATAAATTCACTTATCGCTTTAGTTGCAATCAAAGGTTTAGAAATGTTATTATAAATACAAAAAGAAGTTGATGCCATTATTCCCATCAAATTTAAAATAGAAAGAGACCATTTTATTTCACTTATAATATAGGATTTTCTGGTCGAATAAATATCTGGCCAAATGCCTATTATTTTAGCCAAATTCACTACAAAATTCACTTTAGTTTCTATGGAAGGGTTTATTTTTTCAAACATTTTTTTTTATATTTATTTATAGCTATAAGCTTTGAGTGAAGTTCCAGCTATCACTGACCAAATCAAGAGTTTTTTGTTTGACTTGGATATCCAAGCTATGAAAACGATAAGTAAATCGTTCTTTCATTGAATAATTTATTTCTAGATGAAGAGGGAAAAACTATCATATATGCAACGATACAGCTACCTCTATATCAACCCTCAGAGTATTAATACATATAAAATTGATGGAGATGGAGAGGAAAAAAATTACTCCAAAAAGTCAATAACCTAGTCATAGACAATTTTTACAAGCTTGACCCTTCAAATAATGATACATAAAACATTGATGTCATATTAGGCTATTTTATTTCAAAAGATTATTGATAATGACTAGGAAGCTTTTTCTAATATGTTTTTGAATAAATAGGGAATTGATTGATTCTGTACAATTGTCAAAGTAAATTGCCCCTATCAACACCCCTAATAGGCATGATACAAACATCATTTATTATAATCCCTTCTATAAATTCTTCATGTCATCCCTAGGTTTATTTTTACTTTATTTATTCAGTTTCATCTGAATGACTTTCATTAATTTTTCATAGCTTTAATGTTGACAAAACTCTATCAATTATTAACCAATTTCAATAAATTTTGCTGCATCGATTGGATGTAAATATCAATTTAGTGAAATTTATAAATTTTGACTGACCTGAATTTTAATTGAATTAAATAACGAAAATTATTTTAGTCTACTCTTCGATTTTAATATTCATTATTGAAACTCATTCAATAATCTACCAAATTGCACAGTAATTCTTTGGAGTCTTTTTTTCCATAATATTCTTTTGTATTGCAAAAGATTGTTTATTTAATATCAAAATGTATTTGATATACTTTTATTTTGATTTTATTATCAAGAAAATATCTCTTTTTGGTCATTAAAATACTAATTAGACTAAATTACATGAATATAATAGTAACCTTTGAAGCTAAATGTAGTTCTTTAAGATCTATTCCAACATGAAAACTAATCTACACTGAACATGTTCTCAGATATCCTGGATTACCATCGAATAGCTACGACGATGATGTAAGAGGCACTAAAGGCTATGGTGAACGGCCTTACTACGGTGGCAATGCTCCAGCACCAGCCCCAGTAAGACCTCTAGGGTTCGGTGGATACCCTGACAATTTAATTGGTGGCGGAATTGATGGTTATATGAACGAAGGTGATCCTTACAATGCCCGGCCGATTGGTACTGGTGGTGGTCCAATTATTGGTCGTCCACCTCTTCTCTCTCGTTGCGATGAACAAGAGAACTTCCGACAGGTTGGCCAGAGAACTCGTGTCCGCAAGCCCTTTGTCAGGAGATACACCACAGCCACAACGTTAACCGAGTGTGAACGAGAATGTGCAGATGCACGAGACTTTGTCTGTAGATCATTTAATTATCGTCCATACGCCGCACCCTATGGAGCCGAGAGAGACAACTGTGAATTGAGTGACAGAGATTCGAGGGATATGGCGATGGGAAACCCGATTTATTATGATACAGGATCAGATTATGACTTTTATGAGAGAAACAGTGGAAGACAAGGGGTCGATGGAGAGTGTTTGGATGGTAATTTTATTTAAATCTATTCTTATAACGTCTTTTTATTACTTTTGATTGAAAGATAATAATAAATAAAAATGACTTTTACTGTTAATAGTAAGCCAAGTGTGTAGTGAAGATGGGATGGAATTTACTCTGAGAACACCTGAAGGATTTATTGGTCGTATATATACTTATGGTTATTACGATCGTTGTTTCTTCCGAGGAAATGGTGGTACTGTTAATGTTCTTCGTATTAGCGGACCACAGGGTTATCCTGAGTGTGGAACAATGCGGGTAATTTATTGCTTTGAGTTTTTAATTAAAAAATTGTTTTTTAAGTGTTTTAGAGATTCCACAATCATTATGAACTTGAAAAGCAGTTTGAATTCTTATGCAGTAAATTAAATTGTAGTTTTTATTTGTGTATTATCTATTATTTGAATAAAAATTTCATTAAATTACTTCAGTAACTCTGACAAGTATGAATTGCTATAATTTTATATCTTTCAAGATATAACAAGTACATGGAATAAATTAAATTTTTTTCTCTTTATTTAAAGACATTAAAAAAAAAACATTTTTGAAAATTTAATCTTGACAGTAAAAAATTACTCTACAAAATTGTTATGATGATACATTTCAACATAAATGAATGATCAAATATTTTTCATTGTCATATGTGGAAAATAGAATTTGATCAGACGACATTCAAAATGTCAAAATGATTTGTCCATCTTCTAATCCATTAATCCATTAATTATTAACAAATCCAATTTTCTAGTATGGAGACACGATGACAAACATAGTGGTTGTTCAATTTTCGGACTACGTGCAGACAGGCAGGGACAAACGATTCAATCTGACATGTCTATTTCGAGGACCAGGAGAAGCAGTTGTCACGTCAGGCTACATTGGTGCCGGGTACGCCAGGTTAATCTTCTCGTAGAAATTCACTATTGAACTATTGTAAGCATTGAAATATAAAACGTATCACATCTATTTCCAACAGATCAGGATCTCCAATTCCTATTGAGTATCTTCCAGCTGAAAATACCTTGAGCTCAAGAGTACGACTGCTGATTCTTTATCAGGGAAGACCGACTACGACTATTGCCGTTGGTGATCCTCTTACCTTCCGATTGGAAGCACAGGATGGGTAAAATCAAGTCAAATATAAATTCAATTTAAAACTTTTCAATAACTTTTTAATAAAATTTGTAAATATTTCAGATACAATTACCCAACGGATATCTTTGCCACAAATGTGATTGCCAGAGATCCCTACTCTGGAAGGAGTGTTCAGTTGATTGATAGATTTGGGTGAGTTATTTTTTAATATTCATCCCTAAGTATAGAAATATTATTTTTGAACAATCCTTCAAGCTCTGACTCTTACAGCTTAAAGTGTTTTCAGATAATATGACGTATTTATTTTTACCTTTTCTCTTCATTCAATATATGAATTTAAATATTTTTAAATATAAATGTATATCAAATGAAAATATGCAGGAAGTACTAATAACATATAATCCATCTGTCAATTTTTCTTTCAAAAGTTTTGTATATTCCGGTGTAAATGGCCATCTTAATATCTCGAATTTCACTCGAAAGCAAGTAATTTGATTACAAAACCAGCTGCAAGAATATAGGCTAATAATACAAACAGTAAAAGAAAATGGAAAAAAATTTTCATTCACGTTAAACATTTTTTTTAAACAGCTGCCCAGTCGACAATTACGTTTTCCCGGGTCTTGATCGTCTCCGAGAAGGAGACAGTCTCGAGGCACGATTCAATGCTTTCAAGATCCCGGAATCAAATTTCCTGGTCTTTGAGGCAACCGTGAGATCTTGTCGAGACGGATGCCAACCAGCTTACTGTTCCGGAAGCGCTGGAAGGAGCGAACCTTCCTTTGGCAAACGCAGACGAAGATCTTTGAACGATACTGATGATGCATTGGACGAACATGAGAAACTTTCGACGGTGAAAAATAGTACAGAGTTAATAGAAGATGAAGATGAAAAAGATGGAGAGGAGGAGCATGTTCGAGAAATGATTGAAGTGAGTGCTATAAGTCATAACGTCCAACCAATTTCTTGGACGAAAATAAAGTTATAGATTTTCTTGATGGTTATGAACCTACTTTTTCTAGGTTCTTGACTCGCGATATGATATGTATGAGGACAATGTCATTCAAAAACAAGTGGCTCCGCTGGAAACAATTTGTATCACTCCAAACGAATATTATGGATTGGTGACGGTGGTAGTGGGGCTGGTGGTACTCTTAACATCCGTCGTACTTCTCACTCTATTGATTTACAGGTAAATATTGAATAATGACATTTTACATGAATAATTATTCACATTGAGTCTAGTCACAGTGCTCAGTAATATCTTATTGAATATTAAATCACAAATTACCATCTATGAACATCAAACAGGATCCAATTCTGTTCTCTAATTATTATTAATGAAGATAATTCAAGTTGATAATATTTTTAAGCAATCAATAATTTTACATGTTACTATAAATTCTGGAATTATCGTTAATAAATTGATTAACGACCCGTACTTGATGTTCTTTCAGAAAATATGGATATCCAATAGTTCGGAAGAACAAAAGCGTGGATAAAGTATTGAGCCGGAGTGTCATCAACGAGGAATCAAGTAGTGCTCGAGTGAATAATTTTTCTTTTATGAGATCTGGGCTTCATAAACCATTCCAAGCACCGTGAGTTATTTCAATTGAATATGTCATTAAGAGAATAATCAATAATTCGATCGGGAGAAATGATAATTATACATAATATTAATAAATTGGACATTAATTTTCGTCAGGTCGCTAAGTCAAATTTTTAATCATCAATTATCGTCTCCCGAGATGGAAGGAGCAGTGGGATTGACAGTAAATCGAAGGAGTGATTTCGATCCAAGCGAGCCGATTTACACAGATCCATCATTGTTTGAAGTTTCTCGGGACTCATCGTTACATCAATCAAAGTCTGCGCGTAATGAAAATTTACATCTTATATGAGACAGTAGTTTAATTTAGGTGATCACTATGAAAGCTTAAACGTTTTCCGTTAACTAATTAATTAAAAATCTTACAAAAAACAAGATCGGATAACGATTAAATAGCTCACTCAATGTGATTCATCATCAATTATACTTGCTTTTATTCGATAACATTTTTGACAATCAATTAAATCATATAGTTACAAATCAATTATTTTCGTACTACTTTTATATTCATTTTGATCATCGCGATATTGCATTTAAATAATTCATTACTACTAGATAATTATCAACTAAATTTTTTTCATTTGATATAAATATATTAAATTGGAATATTTTTGTACAATTAACGGATCATGTTCAATCATATATCATTGATTACGTTAATTATTAATTGTTAATTGTAATGAATTTATAAATTAAGATTTAAAAAATGTATGAATTAATTTTAATAATAAGAAGAATGATTATTATATGTAAAATAATAGTTGTTTTAATGTTGAAAGCAACAGCAGTTAATGTGGAGATGTGGTATTCTGGCTTAAATCAAAGTTTACTATTTTACTGGCGGTCGAAAACGTATCACTGAACAGGGAATAGAGCCGTATCTTTTTGAGAATTACCCCAAGTTAGACAAGTTGGATTGTATCTCTTCATTTCAGGGATCTATAATTCCAGTCACGTCATGACCAGTTACGATAATTCAAAGTTCGATTGGGATCTTGGAAACTGTTCAAATGTATATATTATACATGCGCATTCTAATTTATTCTTGACTGAATGTCTCATGGTAATGTCTTCGAAAATGGTATTCACTCTTTTCTACTTTGGAGTGTCTGAGTATAGTGGTTTGTCTACTTCAAGGTTGTAAAACTATTTAGTTCATCGCTTTGTCTATAATGAGATACACGAAGGATCGATTGAAAGAATGTCGTAATTTTTTATTCCATGAGTTAATTTTTTTTTTTCAACGATGTCATGACAATTTATTATCTTGCTAATTTTTCCATGACAGTCGAAAATGTCTTGGACTGAGGCAAATGTGATAAATTTAAACAAATTTCATGTGAGTTTCTTCAAAGGAATGCCATAGCCGTGAAGCGCATGATAAATATGTAACACGTGTGGATGAACTAACCAAGATCACGGCGTTTGACTCCACGTGCTTCGATGCCGGCGTCTTATAGACGACGTCGCGTCACCGCCAGTTCGCAATTAGGAGCATGTAAATGTCCTCATAGCACGTCTTATTCGACTGGACAGATTTTAACCATCAAGGTGAAAGACAAATGATAAAATTAGCGCGGCAAATATTGACGCGGGTAACTCTTGAGACGAATAATGAATGACATATCCTCTGGAATGAGTAAAGAGACGTTGGATGATGAGGAGCAGGAATTATAAGAGGAAGAGGATGAGAGACTAGAGAGGATAGAAGAGGGTGGTGGTGGAGGAGGATACGAAGAGGACAGAATAGTGAATGTCGATGGCGCCAAGAGGCCGCTGTTGGTGTCAGGTCCAGCTGACATTCAATATACCGTTAACGCGACACATCGTATTGCATTTTGTACGCTCTAGTGGACACGTTTTGCCATATAATCGACATACGTGTAGCTGTAGCTGTTCAATCAGGTGACAAAAAAATAGCGCGTGCGATAACGTGCCTGTAGACAAATTGCATAGGCTCATTGGAAAGCCTCTCTGATATCACATTGCACCCCACGAGCAAAGTAGAACAATGGGTCTTTGTCCTACGTTGCGATAGGGAGAACCAATAGCGACAAACCTACTCACAGTACTCGCGGATCCAGTTCAAACAAGCCGGACGACAAACACTGTTAGTTAAATACTTAGCAGATAATAGCTACAAACTCATACAACACGAGAAAGCTACGATTGAATAATTCTGAATAAATTTCGAATAAATTAATTATGACGCGATAATTTATTTCTTGCGTTGTGACAGCCGGTAACCGTTGAACCTGTTCATAAATCTCAAATGGAGATCTCCCTGAGGGGTAGATTTAGTGTCAGTGTGCACATCCAATACTCTTGGAAACCACAGAGCACGAGTTAAATGGCTTACGCAAGAGCGACCGTAGTGCTCGTGGTAATCGAGTTTTCGCGCCAACGTGCAGGATAATCTACCTACGTTGCAATTTATTCCTCTTAATCGACTATTTTTACCATGTACCCGCTTATATTTTACAACTCTCATTTTTAACTTTGTTCTTCTATTACTACTCTCACGTACCATATTATCCGTTGGATCAATAACAAAAACTAATGTCTCATTTCTGATTCTAATTATTTCAATAGATACCACTCACTTTAGTCGAGAAACAAAACTCCGACATTTTACGCTGGTCAATAGCAAAATGTTTCTTTAATGCGATGGGCTAGGGTTCATGACCCCTGATGACGAATACGCTAATAAAAAGTGCTTATTAGCTCACGCTTCAAAAATACGAGGAAAAAAAAAGATTCATGAATTTCATCTTTTTTTTTCGTTCGTTTCATGGAATTTTTTAATTGAGTATTTTTTTTTTTTTTCAAATAAATTTATTTATTATTTGTTGGACTAATTTTTATTGACTTATTTTTATATTAAAGAGGAAAGAATTGAATAGAATGATCTACTATTTCCTTACCCTTGATTTCCTCGATTCTTTATATCTTTATCATTCAATGATAAATGATTAAATAGTAGAGAAATAAAGAACTGACATGATTTAAGGGTCGTGAAACAAAGAATCTTCCTGTTGGGTTTTCCAAAAAGAGCAAATAGTATATTTCACACCTAGGGAGGAAAAGTAGACTAGCTCAAACCACGTGTAAAATTACAACCCGAGCCGAAGGCGAGGGGGGTAAACACGTGGTTTAAGCTTGTCTAATTGTCCTCCTTAGGGCTGAATATAATTTTTCGTCATACCTGAGTGGAAAGTTCAACCCCTCTCCAATGGAAAAGTGAACTTTCCGCGCAGGCATGACGAAAAAATATTATTTATGAAGAAAACTTGATAAAAACTTGTATTACATTTTTTTTTTTTTTATCTCTCATGTAATTAATGCATTATCTAGTTGAAGTAATAGTATGGGAAATTAATTTTTAAATACAATTTAATGAAAACGATTCTAATAATAAAGTTTAATGAATTATACCGAAATCAATTAAATATGAAATGATATAATAAGTACTTCATACGTACAAATTGTTGAATTCGATTTAATTTATATTTGATAGCAGCGTAAAATTAACATTAGTATACATCTGTTGTATTTAATCCGTGTAAAATTTAATGTATTTCACTCAAACATAATAGTACTAGAGCACAAAAATATTGTTAAGAGAAAACGAATGACTGCAATGAATTTCATCAAATTATAAATTACATTTACCTCCCGAATACACCAAAGTTAAATGTGATTATTTTTAGTTTAAACATAATTATAATTATTGACTTTTTCTAAATTATTGATCAAGTAAATAATCGCATGAATATTTCAAACTAGAGGTTCAATTATTCTTATTATAATAATAAGGAGAAAATGATGTTCATTAAAGAATCAAATCTAATATAAAAATGAGTTAAAGAGTGTTATTAACTGATTAAAAAGAATTTAATTCATTAATCGTAATAATAGTTTAAGATTTTCAAGTCTCTATTGCGATTAAAAATCAATTGAAACAATTAAGCGTAATTACAAAACAGCATATGATTAAATCTTCTAAAAGTTGAAGGAAGAAATATGAATGAAGTGTGTTAGATATTTTTGTTCCCACACAACCTCATCATTATCTAAATTATAATGATGCTAATACATGGCTTTCATTCTTGATGTACATCAGCTCTTTCCTCAATTCCTGTTCTATCGTGTGACGTGGCGATACGTAGCTGGAGAACGATAATAAACTTTAGTCGCAGTATAACATGAATAATATAGCTATTGAATAATCGAGCGGATATTGATACGAAGTGTGTGTGGATGAAATAGCAACCCTTTAGGATGACGTGGTTGTCTTTCTAGAAAGCATCATAGCACCGAGCATATCGCTAAGGGTTGATGTGTGTATACTACGGCTGTGTTCTATTTCCTCGGGACTATATACCTCTCGGAAGAGCGGGGATGTGAAATATTAAACCCGAACCACTGCGCTAGAACTGCTGCCGGATGTAGAGAATAAAAAATGCCCCCGATACCTAGCAGAAGCAGTAGCAGCAGCAGCAGAGGACGGCTGGAGCTTCTCTCTTTTAATTAATAGACTTGGAATGATTTTTTTGACCTGAAAGAAGTAAAATAAATATATCTGAGAAATATAAATCTCAGCAAATAGTAGTGCATGGGGGCAATTGAAACCCTCATGTTATAGTGTCAATCTCGACTATTCCATCTCGCATTTTCATCAGATTCGTATCGGTGCAGATAAGACGCGTGAAGAGGCTTTGTACAAGCAATCCGAGCGAGTGTATTTTCCATGTCTGACTCATATATGCGGATGACAACCCTCCTAAACTAAAAGACAAGTCTTTGGATTTTGGGGATGAGCTTTTTCTTCAGCTACTTAAAGATCCTGCGAGATGAGAGTAGTCTCATCTGGCAGAGCCAATCCCTCGTAGACTCAATCGTCCCTCTTTTTCAATCGAACCACACGGTCGTTTCGCGCGCGCGCGAGTTCTCTCCCTAATACTTTTTCCTTGACTACCGTGGCAACGATCCTTTGTCCACTCTCCAACTCATATATCTCGCGTACTTTCATTCTCTCTAGATTTCTATTCTTCGTCTTTTCTCGACGCTTTACTACACATTTATCTTAGACGACTTCTCTTATACTACCACCGGGGATCTGCAACACGGTATCTGTGTGTCCAAGGGTATAGTTTAACTAGTATCTCTCTCTATTTTCTGTTGTAAACTGCTATCCGTACCACTTATCGACTCGCATACCGGTCAAATGACTACAAACACGTGGTCTATGCGTCATTTCAAGCAATTTCCTCTCGTCCTTTCACTGCCAGTACTCGTCGCTTGTCGCTTGAATGCCGCCAACTCCTTTGCGGCAGAGGCAACTTGGTGGCTCTGCCACTCCGGATGGTCCATAAAGACCTTAATTGTCTCCACTCTCGAGAGGGCGTGTCTCTACTTGCCTGTTTCCCCCAAGAGTATCGGCTATATTGGTATGCATACTTTCATACTTCCCCCTGGAGTACTTTTTTTTTATTTTTATTTTAACAACCAAACTCATCAGGAGTACTATTTAAAACTCTTCTTTTTCTTCGTCTATTCCTTGACTTCTTTTTAGTTCTCTTCTTCAACTCAGCCTCTTGATGGTCGTCTAGTCATCATCTAGAATGTGATCTAGAGTTGAAATCTCGCTACAGATTACTTAGTTGCAGTTAGCAACAGTTTGCAACAGCAGGCCAAGTAATCAGATCATGAATATATAATAATTTGTCAAGAGTAATTCGCGGCATGTACTAAGATGTTCCCTTGCTCGTGATGAACGAAGAGAAGTGGAGATGAAGAAGAAGATGAAAATATTTGGCGCAGCATGAGACGTAGCTCTGTGCGGAGGCTGTGCCGAATGCCGTTGTTAGCTCTCTGCACCGACCCATCGTTCCGGCGCCGCCGCCGCCGTCCCTGTTTCATCCCACGGTTGCCCTTTCTTCCTCTTCACTTCCCCACCCGCTTGCCTTCACATGAGCGCTTTACCACCACCATCGCCGTAGCCTGAAGCCGGAGACCCAACGAGCCAAGCTCCAAGCCACCGGCATTCGTCCGCTGCCAGAGACGAAGGCTGCCTCGAACAAGCGTTAGTTTATAACGTCGGTGCTTCAAGAGGTTTGAGCACCGCGAGAGCTCAGTCGGTCGCCATGAACCACTCGCGTTTCCCTGCATCTCTTTCACTATTTTATTTCACGCTTCATCTTTAAAATTTGTTGCGGCTTTTAAAACTATTGTTAAATCATACTTTTGTGTTTGTATCATGATTGATTGTTTTTAAAAAGTATCAATTTATTACGTGGTTTTGTTTTGAGGGAGAAAAGGACGTTTTTTTTTTTTAAGAATTTATAGAAGATAAAAAGTTATATAAAAGTACGAAAAAAAAAGAAGAGAGCAAGTTGAGGGTAACTGTACAGTGAAGAATGAAAAATGTGTGGAATTTTTTGATTAATTGTAATACATCAAATTTCTGTGATTATCTTTTAAACAACAATTTCATTACTGTTTTCTACAACTTGGTATTAATAATATTACATGGTTGTTGGTTTGAGAAAAATAATGAAATGTTACAAACTGTTTCGTTTTACGGTGCAATAATAGTAGTGTGGCAGTGTGTATCTGTAAGTGCCGCTTACACTTGATGGATAATATTGCAGCTAAACAACCTCGTTATCTCGTCTAGGTAAGTACAAATCAAAACATTAGCTCGCGGTGGTACGTGGTTAAATTGACAAACGTAGCACAAAATTGGCGTAAAAATAACAAAATAAATAACTCGTTCGCATTCACTGCGTGCCATCAGCCACAGTGGAAACACGATCGAGAAAAATACATAGTTGTCCGGTACAGAGACACGAGAGTGTCGCGCAGGAAGTTGTCAAGCACGTGATGCGAATGAAGACACAGCTAAGAGCGGCAAAACTCTGTTTCCATAAGTTTTTCGTCCTTACAGGTGATATCAGACTGCTTTGTGGATGGAATTGATGAGGAATGCATGAGATGAAAGTGGAGGGATAACGCGGCCATTGGGCGCGATGAGGTCAGAGTCTTTGGTGCTTTTGATGTTTTGCATAGGCTCGCTGCTGAGTGCCGTAGCCTTTGCGACGGATGATGGTAAGCTGCTGCAGAAAGCATTAATTGATGAGAGAATGCTGACTCAACTGGATTCTCCAGTTGCAGAGTCAAATGCAGCGGTTGCTGTTGCGGCATCAGGAATGATGCCGACTGATGAGGATCACGAGGATGAAGACGAAGAAGGAGAAACAAATGATGAGTCGTATTTGTTAGGGGAAGACGATCCGCCTCTGGCTACGATACCAGGCGGCGGCGGCGGCGGGAGTAGCAGCAATGCTGGAGATACTGAGCTAATCTCTGAAACAGGCGGTCATCTGCCTGTCTTCTTAATGGAACCTCTAGATGCCTTCGTCGTTAAAAACAAACCAGCAACATTAAAATGTAGAGCTGCCCACGCTCTTCAACTCTATTTCCGTTGTAATGGCCAGAGAGCTGAAGATTCTCATCAAACAGACTTTGTTGATCCCCAAACTGGTACGAGAATCGTCGACTCTGAACTCAACATCACTCGGGATCATATTGAGGAGTACTTTGGCAAGGACAAATACAAATGTGAATGCGTCGCTTGGTCCGGTTCCGGTTCCATCAAAAGCCAGCCTGCAATCATTGACGTAGCCTGTGTGTACCTACGTTCCACGTAATTCAATCTTCTCTCAAAACTCTCATCGAGAGAAAACAATTTTTTCTTTCCAACCCATTATTTTTAATCAATTAATTTGATATTTATGTAGATTTAAAAAAGCAATTCGAGTCCCCACCGTATTCAGTATCGGTTGAAGCTGGCCAAAGCGCGGAACTCCGATGTATACCACCTACTGGGGTGCCTTCACCGCGAGTTTACTGGCTTCGAAATGGATCGCCCATCAGCACCAGTGGTTCAGATGCCGACGCCGCACTTTTAGTTTCAAGCGAGGGTCATCTTCTCTTGGGTCAGGCTAAAATCACTCATCAAGCCAATTATACCTGCGTTGCGGAGAATATCGCGGCTAAACGACTGAGTTCACCAGCAAGCATCACGGTTTACGGTCAGTCACATTATTATTTTCCTACTCTTAGTTGTTGTAGTGTAACATGACCGTTTATTGTGGTCTCCCTTTCAACTCTCTTTGTACTTGATTCTACAGTTAATGGCGGCTGGTCTGCTTGGTCTGCATGGTCTGAGTGTCATTCACGGTGTGCTAAAGGTGGTCAGAAACGTACACGAACGTGTACCAATCCAGCACCGATCAACGATGGTCAACCGTGTTTAGGTCCTGCTGTCCAAAAAATGGATTGTAATTCCGCTTGTCCCGGTGAGTATATCTGTCACTCAATAATTTCATACTCGAAGGTTTTGGGTAACTATACGCCTACCCTATTCTCAATAGAATTATCCCCCTTATGTGTTGATTCTGTATATTATGCTTTGCACGCTTGCCTCGAGACAGACCGTGTCTCGCAGGGACAAGTTATAATCGACGAGACAGGTGAGTCATAGTTGTAGTTTGAAGACAACTCGTCTATATAGATGATTGTGGTAGTTGCCGGATAATCCGTATTAAAGTACTTATGTACGATACTTTAGAAGAATAGAAGAAAAAAATTTATTTACTCAGAGTCTATTAACGTTAATCCCATGTAGCGGTAGACGGTGGATGGTCCAGATGGTCTGCTTGGTCGGTCTGCGGGAGCGACTGCACTCATACTCGAACAAGGACCTGCGATGAACCCCCTCCAAGTCATGGTGGTCGTCATTGTCAAGGAAGGGACACCGCTGTCGTCAATTGTACGGGGGGTCTGTGTACTGGTGAGTTCTTTATTAACGACAACTGTAAACTCTGACATTGACGACAATTGATCGTGAATCAAAAGAATAATTTGCCTTGTAATGCAGTGGATCGAGCGAAAATGGGTGGCGTACAATTCACCACCACGCAGAAAGGTGAGTTATGAATATTTCAAATTATTTCTCATGTGAATAATAAAAAGAAAAAAAGTATTTTATGAATAAGTCTTTGGATTATACGTTATTCTATAGCGGCTAATCGGCGAATGGACGTGGCGCTTTATGTGGGACTCGCACTCGCCTGCGCTTTTGGCGGTGGACTTGCACTTCTTTTAATCAGGCTTGTTCGACGAAAAGGCCGCGACCACGCTCTATACTCCATGGCACGTAATGCAGGTAAATGCCACTATTCATATTAATACATACATGTATACTTAAAAACCTTTTTCAATATCACAAGCGAGACGGGGTCAAGTGAATTTTGCCATTTAGTTCTTTATCAACTTCTACAAACTATTCTAACAATACCAACGAAAAAAAATAACTCAAAGATAAAAACTATAATTCTGTGGTTATACTAGTAATTTTACTCACTCAAAGAAAGTCAAAAGGTATAAAAGAAATTTACTGCCTTTTATTCGGATCATTATTTCAATTTAAATTATTTTTACTATATTATTAAAGATCTTTATCGTTCTTTTTTTTTTTTTGTTTTTTTAAATCCATTAAATTTTCAAAGACCATTTGACGCATATTCAACATTTTATTTCATTTAATAAAATTCATTAAGGTAAATTTGCGGTAGCACTTTAACACATTTCTCAGAAGTCAATTATTATTTTTTCAATCTTTGTTAAGCTTTCATGTATTATCATTATGATATCTAAATGTTTGAATGTAACGATTTTTTAATATCCTTTTAAGCGATTTATCATTCAAGAGAGAGAGAAAGAAAAAAAGATGCACTGTTAATTCAAAATAAATGTCTGTAAATAATTTATTTTTCATTTTTACTGGAAAAAATAAATTTAAGGTACTGATGAGAGAAAGATATACTTGAGGAATTTTTTCTTGAAAAAAAAAAAAAAAGATTATCTGGTTATCTTTTTAAAATGCAGATGTGTCCTGAGAGGTAAAGAGAAATTTTTAGGAGAGCATTTTATTTTTAGTATATTTAACCCATATAAGCCTGGGCTTCATTAAAAATAAGATACTAAAGAAAAATCATGTTCAAAAAATTTCCTGCATCGAATTCTAATTTTATTTCTATATAATCGTTGTTTTTATGGATCATGTAATTTATGTATTCTGTCCAGAATGAGATTTTAACGATCGGGTATCACTTAATATATGGAATCTTTATAAAACCACAAAATTAAAATTTCTACAAATCCGATTTTTTTTATTGATCCTATTAAACGCTAGTATAATAATGATGAGAATAATAATAATAATAATGACGATGATGATTTTCAATTCAAGCACTGAAATAACAAAGAATAAAAAAAAACATTTTATAACTTGATTATAAGCAGTGCGGGTATATTCAACGAATTTAAATGCATAACATGGGGTATTGATATCACGATGGACGGTTGATTTGTATCTGTAGCAATTGAAAGTTTATTATTACGTGTCACTTTATATTGGTAAATTGTCTATTAGAAAGTATTTTATTTGAATCGTCAAAGTTTAAAAGTTGATTTCACTACTCCCCTAGTGTATCCCTTTTGTACATACACATACACTCGAGTCAATGTAATATACATATAAATGCCTGGACGTTTTTTTTATCTGCCACACAAGAGAATAATATATTCACTTCTAAAAATAATCTGGTACGTGTTTACACTTGAAGATTTTCAGCCAGAGTACTTTCCAGAACACGATAAGAAAATGTGTCTCCAGCCGGATCTAACCGCAGGGACAACAGTCCAGGCCTCCTACGAGTATCCCTTCGATCCTAAACACTCTCTGTCACGCTCACTCTCTGAGCACCATTACGATGTGCCCCATCTCTCGATCGCGCTTACACAACCATCACCGTCAGTGTCATCGCCCAGTCCAAGCGCTCTCAGCCAGGAGTCCTGCGGCGACAAGCAAATTTATTCCGGCAGTGAAAACAGCGGTACGAGCATCGCTAGCTCCTCCTATCCATCCTCCGATTCCACGACGACGACGTACAACGTTGCTTCAGAGCGCGTGAGACTCGCTAAGTTGGAGCAAGCTGGCAACGTAGCTCGAGCCGCGGTCAACGCACGGGGTGCACTTCTCGTCCTTCCGGATTCTGGGATATCGTTATCAGTGCCAGAGGGGGCGATATCCAAGAGCCAGGGCCGACGGCAACTTGATCTAACAGTTCTTTGTGACGATAGATACAGACCACGACTACCTGGTGAGTGTATCTTTTAATTCCAATTATCATCCATGTCGACTGTCATTCGATAAATAAATCTTTCGATTATTATGTTAATTTCTATTCAGAGGGCATGACTCAACTGTCAGCGGCCATTTATTGTGGACCTCCCTCTGTAACCTTCGATAAACCAGTGATCCTGCAGTTTGAACATGCTGCTATGCTACATCCAGCTGGCACGTGGGAACTTAGTGTTTGGGCATCGGATGACCTACCGCCTATGACAACAGAAGACAAAGTTATGGAGTCGAGCAATGAACTCAAACATTTAATCACGTGGACTAAAGTGTTGACTCTTGGTAGTGAAACAATCAATACACCACTTTTCACTCAGCTCGATCACTCTGAAGCTTTTATCGTAACCGAACAGCTGCGCAGTTACGTCCTGGTGGGCCGAAGTGCCGACGATACGATAGCTTCTAAAAGACTAAGAGTTGTGCTCTTTGCAAGTCAATATTGTGTTCGAGTCTATGTAATAGAAGACACTAAGGCTGCTATGAAGATTATCGTGGATCGTGAGTCACAGATGCGAGGTTATCTTCTTGACAAACCACGTCCTCTTCTGTTCCGAGATAGTGGCGAGAATCTCTGGGTGAGTCTGGAACAAGTCGGCAACGAGTGGCAAAGTAAATCACCCACAGAACATCAGGAGATAGCCTTCGGCGATATTTGGAATTGTCCGAGTAATTCGAGCCATGTTGCTTTCACTTTAGATGAGAGCTTTGACTCTGTTGCAACTAAAAGCTATAAGCTACAGGTCTGTCAAGGACGTACAAGCGATGCCCAACGGCAAGTCTTCAGGATCGTCTATGATGTTGTAAAGCAACGGGTTTTCTCAGGAAGCGTCACAAGACCACTCAGGGAAGTCACTGTTGTGAGTAGTGTAGGTGCCAACAATTTGACATCTACGGATTCGTCAGCCCGAGGCCCATTCCGCTTCACAAGGTCTCTTAGGAAACAACTTTGTCAGTGTCTCGATCCACCAAACGCGCTTGGTAATGACTGGAGAATGTTGGCTCAAAGATTACAAGTTGACAGGTTGGTTTGCATTTTTTTCCCAGCATTTTCAATCTTCAATTTATTTTCTTTTACTTTCAAATAACCAGCAATATTTTTTTTTCTTTCTTCTTTTTTTTGTAGATACATTAATTACTTTGCCACTAAAGCCAGTCCTACTGAGCACATATTGGATCTCTGGGAAGCTAGACATCGAGAAGCAAGTGCGGTGACAGATCTTCTTAACCATCTGCGAGCGATGGGAAGAACTGATGCAGCTACAATCCTTGAAGCTCAATTGGGAGCATGGCTCTAAGCTCTAAAACCATCATAAGACGATTGTTCTAATTTTTTTTTTATTTGTTACAATAATCTAGAACAGTTGGTGCATTCCGATAGATAGTTATTGTTCGCACCGTACCAATTAACACAGAGCGATTAAAAGTAGAAAATAAATTTTAAAAATATTAATAACAAAAAAAAAAAATTAAAGTGATAGGAGTGAGAAATGAAATAAAATAAAACAAATAAATAAATAAAACTCGTGTGAGATAACACGTGCCAAATGGAATTAAAAAATTCTGATGGGCTCTATCGAAACATTTGCCTTAAAAATGCGTGTGTGTCAGCCGCACGTACTTCGATCTCTTGCCCATCTTTCTCCTCCTTCAATTCCTATTCCCCCTTCTGTAAATAAACTCACCCATCGAATTTACGTAGAGTTATATTAAAAAAAAATAAATAAATAAATTCAAATAAATAAAATGAAACTAAAATAATTAATTAAAATTAAAAAAAAAAAGAAAACGAAGAAAATCGCAACGATACCAACAACATTTTTGTAGTACATAAATAAAAAATGAATTAATAATTCTAATTGTAATGCATTAATTTTAATAGAGAGAAAAAAATATATACGTTTAGATGGATATATATTATATGTACATACAATAAAAGATAAAGATATTAACATTAATGCAGACTGAAGACAAATGGCCAGTCATTTATATAACTCAGTGTGTTCCGTTTTAAAAAAACGGATTGTGCCAAATCACTATTCGTCCTTTATCTTTTTTTTTTACCCACCGATCATTCATTAATTCATCTTTTTTTATTGAATTTGTGTTCTCTATATAAACAATTATACTATCAATCCTTTAGCACTTGCGTCATTTTTTTACTCTTTTTAAATTTTATAAATTTTTAATATTAAATTTTTATACATTAAAAATTTTTTATCAATGTTTTTATATGTATATGATAAAAAAAAAATAATTAAAAGTATTAACTATTTAATTGTTATAATAATTAAACGAAAGAAAAATAAAAATTAAATTAATTGAAAAAAAAACCATGTTTATACTTTATTTTCATAAAAAACACTGCCAATGGATGAGATGAAAGTAAGAGGTAGAAATATTAAAAGCGCAGGAGTTGAAGGATTGATAAAAATAAAAATAGACAACAATTTTTGTATTGGGATTCTTAAGGCCTGAAATGTCGGCGCATTTATTTGAAAGAATTGTATATTTGTTACTTTGGATGAATAAAATATTCTTGTATACTCAAAAGTACACTCGAGATGAAATTATTTATTTGAGTTTTCTAAATGAGTGCCGACGGAGAAGACAGAGAATTGGGGACTAAAGTCGTTGAAGAAGCAGCCACGCATGGAATAGACGTACGTACCGGAATGCGCTCGAGTGTTGGAGTGTTGTTCAAGTGTTTCAACGTGTTACTACAGTCGTCAAGTTGAAAGACTCATAAAAATAGCTCTCACTAGCGGTTACTTTTCAACGACGTCCACCAATGCTCTGTCTGCTTTTGATGGCGATATCTTGCATACGTACTACGAAATCTTGAGCTTTTCATGGCTCATCCGCTCTCCGCAACTGTCTCACTTGATGTCATGTGTTATTTCTACATGAAATTGGCCAACAAGGTACATGACGGATAAATGGTAAATAAACCAGTATACAGAATCTACTGCACACGAAGGTGTAGTGAAGAGCCTGAAATAACCATCAACGTAAAAGCAACTGTGTCGCACTAATTTCCAGGAGCTTCGTATGGCCGCCCTCTCTCTGTAATTAAGAGACTTTGTCATCCGAGAAAAAAGCCCCGGCGCCACAGCTTCCGATCGTTGATTGGTTTCGTAATTGGTTTGATTGTCCTATGCCCCAATTAATTAAATTTGCTATAATTGTATGGTATAGATGAGACCAAGTGTTTCACGTTTTTTAATAGTTATTTTTATTATTTTTTTTTTCACCAGCCAAAGCTGATGTAACTAACAACGAATACATAATCGTTTAATCTTACAAGCCTTACAAGAGCTCGCTCCAAATTTACTTTATTGACTATCTACAGGAGAGTCGCGGTTTTGTGTGGTATATGTACACAGTGCAGGACAACGCGGCGACCGACGATCCTGGTGGTCGCAGTAAACAAAGCGCGGTGGAGTCACGGGGCTGAGATGAAAACCGGTTTTGTACATCTTAAGAAAGCAGCAGCAAGAACGACAGACTGTGGTCACAAGTAGTACACACTAACTAGGATGTTTCTTAATTTATCGACGAAATCTTTTCAAGAGAATTCGTATTTGCTTTTTTGTTCTTTTAAATCTTTGTTTTTCTTTCAATTATAAGTACTGCAGTATGTTAAAAGATGAAAAACATTCGTCGCGTGCTCTTCTGTTCTGCACGATGATGTAGTATATAATACATGTAGATATATTGGTGAGTTCGAGTTTCACAAAGGGAGAAAAAACAGTTACAAGTTTGCTGACGTGATGTTTCATTTATATCCAATACGTTAAGTTGCCAGATCATCGATGAAAGGAAGATGAGCATATAAATCGTTAGGGGCTAGACCGGACGTATACCACTATATACCTCGTCTGCTCTATCCCCATGACTCATCCCCGGAGGGTTGACTTTTACTCGCGGAAAAGTTCGAGTCCCCTAAATTCCGGCTCCTTGGCTTCTTCCGTCGTGCGATCCCAGCGTCATTGTCCTCGAGCCATTAAACTGCGATTCCTTGACGTGACTCTGCCGGGTAGAGAAAAAGACAGAGCGAATGAAAGTAGTGGGTGGGTGGAGGATGAATCGCCGAGAGAACGTGCTTGCAAGAGCATCACGTCGTCGCGCGGATTGTGAGTCAAGTGAAAAAGTCAGATATCAAAAGAAAAAAGAATGGGAAGAGGGGAAAAGACAGCGAAACAAAGAGGAGGAATCCGAGGGAAGAAAGAACGTCGAGTGAGAGAGAAAAGAGGGTCCAATGTTGAGGGCTCTTGGCCCACCGTGTGGTTAATGATTCGTGGTTGGCGCATAGTAAGATCTAGTGAGCCGAGACGGATGCGCAGTGATGATGGTGACGCATATCATACCAACAAGAATTATGGTATTCGCATATAAAGGAGACGAAGGAGGAAGGAGTCGACAGATAGAGGCGTTTGGTGATAAATGTAGCAAGCATGTAAATCCGTCGTCGATGCATGACGTTTATCGCGCCGGCAAGGCATTCATGAGGACTTTTGGAAGCTTTCAGTGCTGGAGTAGTCGAGTAGTAGGTAAATATAACTCCTAAGAGTACAGTCTGCTCCTCTTAAACCAGATGTAACGTTTCACTTCCGTTTTTCTTCAAGTATAACCTAGCGCCTTCTGTCTTCTTAATATTCCCTCTGTGGCGAATGTTTTTTTGCTGCAATTACTGTATATATATTTTGAACCCACGTCAAATTGTCGCCATCCATGTAGCTTATATCAATCATGTTATTAGGCTCTGTTTGTTTACTTATGTCCATAAAGCAAACACTTATTTTAAGTTGATTCTTTGGCTATTTTTGCTGAAATCGCGGCTTGGCGTTGGCGGGTGTGTACAGAGAAATGAGCTTAGATAAAGTGTGACGAGAGTACAAGAACACGGGCATGAAAGAGAATGCGTGTGACGTGGCCACATCACCGCCCCCGTTCCCACTGTATCCTATATAATGAGTTCAAGTAGGTAGGGAGATATTTGAGGAACGTGCCGCGACGATAGACCATCAAGCTTTTCAATGTAAAAATAGCGGAAATTGCATTTCACAGGAATACGAGGGTGCACTGTCGTCTAACTTAAACATTTATATATATATATCACTTCTTCAGTGTCCATTATAACATTATATTAAACTGTCCAACTAATACTCTAATGTAAATTGTCACTATTCCATATAATACGACTAGTTCCTATTATCATTTATATCAAGTGAAAGGCTCAATTATCGATTGTGTCTCTGCTGCAGTAGTCAACAACACTTAACTTTTCTTTTGATACATTTTCCTTTTTCTCTATATTTACCTTCTAACCATTTTTCCATCTCATTTTTTATTCATTTCGTCTCTAGTGGCATAACTCTTGTCTTTCATTCTTTTTAAAATGAAAAACTTGCTTATCAATGGTATTTAAACTTGGGAAATCAAAGTTTAAATATTTATTTATTACCCAATTGTTTAAATTCATACTTTGTTTCTTTTTTTTATATACTTTTATACAGTTATGAATACTTATGCAAATTATTTATTATATATACTTTTCTGTGTTATTTTAACATTTTTTTTTTTTCTAGTATTTGTGAATAAATTTAAGGAGATAATTGTTTTCCATTAATTCCTATCCTCTGACTTCCGGTTGAATAAAACATTAAACTTCAATTTTTTCAGCTTTTAATAATCGACAACTAGGTCTCTTTTATCTTATATACAATTAAGAAGATAAAGCCACCAGTTTCTGGACACCCACCAGTAGTCTACGACCCATTCTCGTATTTTCACTTGGAAAATAGAATAATAAATTTTGTGTATAAAGGCCTTAGATAAATATATATCAATGAATACATCAACTCTAATATTATGGAAATAATCTTTTTATGGATGATTTTATTTTTATTAAGTCATAAATGAATAAATTTTATTTCTTTAAAATAAAATTATTTTCTCATTAAATGATTTTTTAATGTATATATTTTTTTTATTATTAAACACATATGTCGAAAAATAATCTAGTTAACGGCTGTATTCACACCTCATTAACACTGTTTTTGTAGGCAAAACATGTTTCTCATATTTCTATAAAAACCGGAACATGACGAATTAAAGTTAAATAAAAAGCTTGATATTATTAAGATTGATGTTAGTGAGGTTGACAGAACATTATTAAACGTTAATTTTTTGAAATCACATTTAACATTATTCCAGTTACTGGTATTCATAATAAATGATTAAATAAATAAAAATAATGATAAATTAAAATGTTGTAAAGTGAGTTGATTATCATTCCATCGATTAGCATTTATTTAAAATCTATTTATAACATAATCCATAATAAAAATAATATATACATATATTTTTAGATAATTAATTTTTTATTCGATGCATAAATTTCTGTATCATGTTATTAACTGTACATTTATTGGACGAGCTAATTTTTTAGAACAAGATAAATATAATATTTTACTGAAATTAATAAAACTTTTTTACTCATCACACTTAGTATAAAGTGTAAAGAAATTTTTTTCATAAAACCTGTATTATAATAAGCCTATTAAGTACTAAACAATGAAAAAAATTTAAATATTATTTTTCCGATTCATCCTCTTTAAGCTGTGAAGCTGGTGCAACGGACGCGTAAAAATCCTGTAATGATCTTAATTAAAGAGAACAAAATGTATTCGATTATAAAACTGAGCTGGTCTAATCTAAAAGCCACACAGCCTCTTAATACTTCATATAATACTCAAGCATTATTTGTCTTTATTTTAAACTTTGCCGGATATTTGTATGCATTTTTCTCTTTTTACATTGCACTTGGCCTCGTATCCTCACCACCATCAGAACATACTACATATATTCGTTATTCAACACGCCATTAAGCGTGCATACGTCGACCAAAGGAAAGTGCACGGTCATAAATCGTAATTACGAACCGGCGCGACCGAGAATTTGTCGCAGGAGCATCCATCAGCTGCATCTGACACTCTATGCTCGTGTGTCGGGCAGCTCGCGAAGAAACGTTAAGAAACATTGATCCAACTTTCTGTCACACGTTGTAAAAATATTTGACATTATTGTCGAGCACACATCTAGTGGGTTGAAAAAAAAAAAGTACAATATAAGTGAAAGATGAAAAGACGTACTCCTCATGTTCATAGCTAAAGATATACATTCATTGCACTAATCAAGCGCCACAGCTGATGGCTACAGGGGACGCATTGTGAAGACTTCATCTCTGTTATTTTTCGCCGTTATTAAAAAGTCCTACGTAGAAAAAAAAAAAGAACAAAGGATATTTGGACCGTAGTCAGCATTGTCCTGTCAACTTTCTAAGTCTTTGTTGCCGCATACTAATATTCACAAAGCTTTTATGGATAATATTTTAAATTAAACATTATCATTTAAATTATTATCACTAAATACTATGTACACTATATCTCTCTATTTATACTTTCCTAACAATAGCACCAGTCTCTATAATTTATAACTTTTGTGTAAATATTTTTTTTTCCATTTTCTAAAGATTTAATACCGTATAATAATAACTGAAGATTGAAGTTAAAAGTTTCAAACTGTATAAATTACTTGAGGTAATACTATTTTTAAGACGAGTCGAATGAAAATTTTTACACTTCAGTGACATTTCACAGCGAATTATAAAACTTTCTTTTAAACAATTAACATTTATTTTAATATATTTGAAAAATGAATAAAAAATTCATGGTATTAATTGGCCAGGAAATTTGGTTCATTAAAAATGGAAAAACATGATATTTTACATCGTTAATATTTAAAAATAAATTATAAACCTTTCAAATATCTCGAAAATCATCGTGATCCATTACAAAAAAGATGAAAACAACTTAACGAAATGAAAGAAAAAGATGATTGTATTGATAAGAAAGACAGCTGTTTCGAAAGCATTGAAATTTTTTTTTTTAACGATTTTAACGTAAAAATGTGTAGACGGTCTGACAGCTAGTGATAATGAGTTGAAAAATTTTTTCAGCATATATACTAAGTCGAAATAAAAATAAATCAAAACTTTTTTCGAGCTTGCAGCAGTCTCTTTATTATTATTGTCGCTGCTGATGAAAATGAAAAAGTCGTTAATTAAAGTTAGGATGTGGAAATAGATATTTTTTAATTAGCAATTGTTACAAACACACCCTTCGAATTTAGTTTTAGCGCAATAAAGTAAAGTTATAAGTTATGAGAAAAGTGTTAAATAGAAGCGAATAGACAAGTTCGTTAATGGTAATTATAGTGGCGTCGGACGCAATCCCATTAGCACGAACGCAATTTAACCGATCTATCACAGCCTATTAGGTACACTGCTGGCGTGGTGCTTGCCACCCCCTAAATAGAACGACCCCTGTCCTACTACTACGTTGCTCACTAGCCATGCAATCTACTCGCCATCACCATCATTTTTCATTGTCTTTTTCATAGAACTTGATAGTGGCATATCTTTTCCACGTCTTCAGACTACAAATGCGTAACGGTTTACATGTATGTACATACCAATGTGTGACATATACACTAAAAGTTTAAAAAAAAAAAGAAAAAAGAGAAATAAAATGCCCGCATAAAACCATCATCTTCCATTCTTACATATCATCGCCACGTGTGGTTTCGTGTTACACTTTAATTCAGCCAATTTTTACCTATTCTTTTCACATGAATCTCAAATGCACGTGCGCACTAGTCGTCATCGATTTGTCCTGCGGGCCACGATGCTAATTGGACCAATTGACATAGACTGTGTATTTAACTCGACATCTCTGTATACACATGTCCCGCATATTACGCATAATCCAGTGAGATTTTTTAATAAAGATATCGAATGAAGATTAGTTTAACTACCCAGTGGGAGCTTATTGTGTCGTGTTATATAACGAGAAACTGGTAAATAATATATTTCTTATTTCTTTGTATAATAGACTGCTGTCAAGGTGTAAGCTTCACATTACTACAATATTAAATGAAAAGACCGAAATATGAACCCTTGGGAAGACCTACTACCTACCCGCTGTCTATTACCAAATGAAGCAGTATATTCTTTTCTGCATATTGCATGCTTTACTAAGAATAAAGTAAGACGAGAGAAACTTTTGAAATGTGAAGCCCCATGACATTGTACCCAGTGACTAAGGAAAAAGGGTGTAGCTCGGAAAAAAAATTAATAGATTATACATTCGAGTAAGGGGGGAATGATCGAACTGCGTATTATATCATATGATAGCACCGCCTCAGAGGGCCACTCAAGGGCTTTGGCATAAACGCGTTACTTGCGGGCACACTCGAGTACGCCTGCGGTTAACGAGTCCCCTTCCATCATGAACATTTGGTGTACCTATCTACCTTCTCCAACCTCCAGCTTCTACCTATTTTCTATGTGTACTTGATAGTATAACTATATACGGACTTGTTCGTATATGTACGTATGTAGGAGAAGTGAATTTCCAGTTGGTGTTTTTGACGTTGAGATTGAAGGTAGACATTGGCAACTGTTGGGAAAGTTATGTACGAATAGCAATCGTATATATCAATGTGAAAGGATCTCCGGTACTCGAAATGGTCCAAACATCCCGGTGGACAAAGCCGAGTTAATGCTTGTGCACCCCCCCTAAAACGATTATCCACTCGTAAGGAAAGAGGCACTCCATCGTATGGCTCGACAAGCCGACGAAAGTGCATATCGGGGATCGAAAGGAAAGGGATCGAGCACGTAACGATGTATTGTGCGGCCAGTCAGTCAGCCAACCAACCGGACAGACGTACTAGTAGGAATGTGAAGCCGCAAGGGGATGCGAGATGGTGACGATCTTTTGGGAAAATGTATATGAGCAAGAGAGAAGGCGAAAGTGTGTGCTCGAAATGTAGTCGCGTGATTGCGAATTCAACTAAGTTTCGAGAACCACGCCCGTTACAGAGTAAATTGCCGAATCCTGTAGTCGCATGCGCCAAAATGTATCGTCGTTCGATAGCCTTGAGAGTAATGAATAAGAAATGAGTGTAAGAATTGCAGATAATGGGACGACGCTGCGGTGGGTGATTTTACGTTTTCGCTGAGACAAAAACGAGGTGGCAAAAACAAGCCGCTTTGGCGCCCGATTTCTGAGCTTGCGAAGACAACAGCTGCCTATCCATTCAAATATTCAACAGCCAACATACTCCTTTTCTTCTCCCTTCTCTTATATAGACTCTGCGTGTCTATTTCTCTGAGTTACTCGCCACTCCACGTCGGACGTCAGCGTCAGCGACCAAAGCTGCCAGACGACATCGCACACCAAGTACGCTTGCAACCCCTTTAGGGTGCTACTTCCCATCATGAACAACGATCGATTTATGCTGCGTGCGCGCCAGAGTGAGTGTGAGTTTAACTCAACTCCCGCGCGTCCCACTGTTTGATATTGAATAATGACTTGAACGTCAATAGACTTAAACGCAATTGTACGATCGATTTGCGACAGGACGTCTGCACCTAGTTCCTCATCATTTATGTCCCTTTTTTCTCATTCTTCAATCTCCAACGGATGTTGTATAACATTTATTAAGTTACGACGAATGGATGGTGCTTCATAATTAGGATTTACGAAGTTTGAGATCACAATCTACTTTATCCTTTTAATTGGATTTTACGAGGCAACTTTTGTTGTGATTTATGATTCTAAATTGAGAGAGCATGTCTATGTGTTTAATTTATTTTCTTATCGATCGCTTTTTATCTGTGTTGAGATGTACGTCGTGAGAAAATTTACGTTCAAATTTCATCTTGAACATTAACTCAGTTGGTAATTCAATTAACAGTCTCATTTTCTAGCAGTCGATAAGATAGAAATTTTTACAAAAATTTTAGATAAATAAAATTAAATTCACTTAATTTCAATATAACAATACATTTGTATTGATTTAATTGTTTATAATCACATTTAAATAAAAAAAAAACTTTAATTAAAGAATAAAAAAAAACAACCTAGATAATTGATTGTCAGTAACAATGATTTTGTCTTTGTTGACTGCAGCAATTTAATTTCTTTTGTCATGTAGTTTTTAATTCAGCCGCAACTGTTGCGTAGAGAAATCGACATTTTATTCAGTGTCTAAAGAGAGAGAAAGAAAGAAGCTTCGAGGTGTGTATGTGACTATGGTGCATGTAGAAATGTCGTCGCTCATAGTCATAATGAAGTAAATAGCAGAAGATGTCTACTCCAATATCCAGTCGTGAAAGAACATTAGGCAGTGTCAATGCATTAGCAGGTGTGAGGTTAGCGTGTGTCATTTGTGGTAAAACTGATAAAGTACTTCGGTGTTCAAGGTGCAAAAGTACTGTTTATTGTTCTAAAGAACATCAAAAATTTGATTGGAAAAATCACAAAGCTGTTTGCTTCGACCAATCTTTAGTACAAAATAACGAAACTATCTCTGTACCTGATAATTCATTAAATTTGCAAAGAAATCAAATTGTTCTTGAGCCAACCAACAATTTGCCAAACTCTGGAACTTTATCTAACCTTACAAAGAACACTGGATCCGAAGCATCCAGAATACAAGCGTCATTGAATACAGATAAAATCGAGAGACGCAGTCGCGGTATGTAAATAGTGTCATGTTTATATATCATTTTTCTTTTATATTAATTAAAATAATTAATTTATAAAATTGATTTGTTTCAAACAGGATTAGAGAGTAAGAAAATAAATAATTCCAGCCAAGAGACTGTTGGAATTGTAGCACCATCAAAAAGAAAAATATCTTCTAACGGTAATTCATCTGATAAGTCCGATGATTGGATTACTCCTCTGACATATGAAGAGAATTCTGAGGATACAATTTTAAGTGCTACCGCCAAATTGATGAATCCAATTGCAGTGGCTTCACGAACTGGAAATAAATCTGACGGTGTTGTCCCTGACACATCGTTACAACATCACGACCATATGAAAAACTTTCCGGAAGTTCGACTGAGAAAGGACGCCGAATTTTTACCACCGTTTTTACACATGGACAGAAATAATCTGGATGAACGGTTAGACGAAATTTGTCGTAATGTGATTAGGGACATGGATGAGTATGGCGTGTGTGTGGTAGACAATTTTCTTGGTGCTGAAAAAGGTCTGACAATATTAAGTGAAGTATTGACTATGTATAGCGCAGGAATGTTTAAAGATGGTCAATTAGTATCAAATAAAGCTAGTGCTAATGATTTAAAAACAATAAGAGGTGATCAAATTTTGTGGTTAGATGGTAAAGAGAAACAGTGTCAAAGTATTGGAATGCTAATTTCTCAAGTAGACGCGATAATAGTTCGAGCAAATAAAATGAGAAATAATGGAAAGATGGGAAAATATACAATTAATGGAAGAACTAAGGTGAGTACGAGTGTTTTCTTTGTGTTGAGGAAAACTCGTTGATGAATTAAATTTGTAATAATACTTTAAATGGTACAAAAAAAAAACAAAAAAAAGTACAGAATGACGAAGCAAAGTCATCCAATGCTGTCGTAACAGCTGAGAGATCAAGGAAGAAGAGAGATGTGGATATGAATACGCATCAGTCTTTTTTTTATTTTCACATACCGACTATACAGTCTATTAATTCAGTCGTTATATTCATGTTATTTTTATTTCGATATTTTTAACTCATCAAATTTATCAGTAACTGACGATATATTTCACAAAGAAAGAAAGCCTTATATCCACTTGTTTCGAATTTCGAGAGTGATGCTTTGTAATGCACTAAAATTTTTTTAACGAAATGCTGAAGTCAGTCACGTACGCCACTAACTTTCACCTCTGACTGCATCTCGTCTAAAGAATCTGAAACAGAAGCCTCCCACGTGCATTCTAATCTACTCCAAAGTTCTAGACATATGTTTTCGGAGGAGATAAATAAATTCTTAACAAATTATAACTGAAAGTGAATGTATTGCTTACGTGATCTTTCTCTTGATCTTTCTCTCTTTTTGTCGAGTAACCTTCCGCAAGGTGAAATGTAATGTAATGAGAACAGACAGTCGAAAAGTTTAAAGGCACAATCTTTAATTCTTTATTCACTTAAGAAAAAGTTGTAGAATCTTATTGGAGCAATTATCTAGATGTATATTATTTATTTCGTTCAATTTACTATTTCCTCTTCAAATTAAATTATCTTACCGGAAATTTCTTCATTTTTTGATGTCATCGCTAAACTTAGATTGACCTCGACGAAAACTGAGGAAATTTACTCATATAATTTGAGGGAATCCTTTAATTTTATCAAACCAGTAATGACAAAAAGTAAAAGTCAAACTGATTTATCTTTCTTTTTTATTCTCTATAAAAAATTAATCAATCCAGTTTACAGTTTTATCTATCAGTAGCTAATGAATTATTGTTGTACTTTTTATAATGATGGATCAACATTTTTCGCTTACTTTTGTAAGGATATAATAGTCTCTGAACTTAGACCATTGCATCTAACCATTTTTCAAACTTATTTTAATTCACAATTTGCAAAAAATTCACGACAGTTTCCTAAAGTCATTTGAAATAATATGCTTCAATAAATATCTAACAATACAAATAGCTTTTATGAAAAATAAATTTTCGATATTAGTAAATTGAATATAGAAATAATATAATTCTTTAAAATTTAAACTATTCAAATTAGCTGTAGAATAAAATACATGAAAATAGTTAAATTTACAAGAATAATTCATAATTTACCTCCACAAACTTTATACCAAACTTTTTCACTTAGAAACGTCCTTGGGTGTAAACGATAGTTTAAAAATAATAGAAATGTAGCGCAATCGAAGCTGTGTTATTTCAAAAAATTTGCAAGAATAATTATACCAATTATAGATATTAAAATTTTGTTAATATTTACAAGTGATATGATATGTGACATTTTGCTATCAATTAAACTTTTAGATATTCACTGATTATAAGCTATGCTTTTTTTATCACGTACGCCAAAAATTTAAATTCACTTCTTGTTTTAATTATTATTTATCTATCACAGTTGTTAATCAATATCTAAACCAAGAATTTTTTTATCAAACACTTAAGCTTATCTTTTTTACACTGATATGACAACCCTCGCAAAATATTCACTATGTAGAACATTAAATGAGATGTATATCCAGTACTTCACGTTTGTTTGTATTGATAATATTTACCCTCAGCCAGACTATTAAAATTTTTTTTTTATTTTCAAATAAAAATTTGAAACATTCTGTATAGTCAAAATAAAGGCAGATTGTTTTTTAATTTGCAAAAATTCTTTGATACATTTAAAAGAAAGCGAAATTTGCTATCAAGGTTTACAAAGAATACGGCCAAGGTTCATAATTGGTACGTGTAGTCTGGAAATAACCTTGGAATATTTAAACGAACCCATGGCATCATGGTTGTATCAAGAAGATTCAATTCTTCGAATCATTTATATTGTTTGTCAAGTTTCCTTCATGTTTTTAAATTTGTGGACTTATTAAAAAATGTAATTTTTGTGGTAGTAAAATATTTTCCCAGGACAGAAAAAAAGTCTAACTACTTCTAAAAATTGGTTGAGAATAAATAATATTTATATCAATATTGTTCAAGCAGTCCATTAAAGTCTGTTTATTTTTTTGATAAATATCCCTTTCTATTCTGGCAAGGATATTCTTGAAGTTGATATTAAAATTTCATTGAAAAAATTCAGTAAATGGAATATTTTTTTTAGGTCTTATTTTGAGAAGCTCTTAATGTACAACTTATATACCTAACAACATTGAATAGTTACTGAGAATAAAAAATATGCTTTTTATAGCTTGACAAAGCCGATTCTGCATCAATAGTAGCTCATATATTTTTTTAAAAGATTTTCTTCATTGTAAAAAGTTTTTTTACATTGTTTTTTTTATTGATTTTTAAGATTATTTCCTCGCTATTCCTTGCAATTGTAAATATTCTGCAACTCGAGTAAAATATTAAACTTAAAAGTGTAATATTGATCGTATTTTAACTTCTGGTTCACGCATGCACACGTCAATGTAAACATTGAAACATGACTCATGTCAAGTTCATGTCAAGGATCTTGAATTAATTAATTAATTTTAATTGTTCGAGGGGTTGTTGGATCGGTGGCTATGAAAGTTTAAAAATCTAAGCAAAATCCATCATTATCTCTGTATATATCAATTGAATTAAAAATGTCGTCACGAAAATACTGTACATGAGTCAGACAAACTTTTGAATAATACACATTGACATTCAGCTGTTTCGTTCATTACGTACTCTTTTTTTATCATAGATGAAAAAAATAGAATAGAACTACGACATTTTTGTATATCTTTTGATATTATTATGTATCGTACACCCAATGATCATTCAGTTTTTTTAAAATTTCCATATCTATTCATGCAAGAAATAAGTATTATTGATAATTAAAAAATTTTTTCGAAATATCATAAAAATATTTTTTCAAGTTTTTTTTTACACTAAGAATTTTCATTAGATTTCTATTTAATGTGAATATTTCTTCAGCTAAAAAAATATTATTGATGTTGTTTTATATGATTTATTGCAATTAAAATGAATAATAATCTGTTAGTAATAATTGAGAACAGACAATTCCCAAATTTTTAATGATACCAGCTGTCAGTGAGCTGTTATAACTTTATAAGGACAATGACAGAGTAATGGTTATTGAGTGTAATAACTTTTTTCCTTGTTATCGTGCTCCTTCTTGAACTTCAATATTGAAGTCAACGTTAAAAACTATTATCTTTTACAATGACATAACATTTAATTCAAAGAATTACTACTCGATTTTCTTCGTTCCCTAGGTTATTGCGTTGTTGCTTAAATATTATTGTCTATAATAATACTTGATTAAGAATAGCACTAAAGCACAAACAATTAACATTTTTTAATACATCATTGTGTTTGATATAAAAACGGCAGTTTAATAATGTTATAATATAATCAAGTATCAATTCTTTTTATCTAGGAATTGACTTTCATTACAAGAATTTTATAAAATGTTTTTTATGTCCTAGGCAATGGTAGCTTGTTATCCAGGACATGGTTCACATTATGTTAAACACGTAGATAATCCAAATGGTGACGGCAGATGTATTACAGCCATTTATTACCTTAATGTAAATTGGGATACGAAAGTAAGGAAATTAATTATGTATTTTTTTTCTTTCGTTTTAAACTCACATAAATATATTTGAATGTATAATTCACCAATCTATTTTTTCCAGAAAAATGGAGGACTTTTAAGGATATTCCCAGAATGCTGGAGGGATCAAGTAGCAAATATTGAACCTGTTTTCGATAGGATTTTATTCTTTTGGTCAGACCGAAGAAACCCTCATGAGGTTCAACCAGCATATAAAACAAGATACGCTATCACCCTATGGTATTTCGATGCTGAAGAAAGATTACAAGCTTGTGAAAGATTTGAGAAAGAAAGTAAGCAACACAAACATTTATTTTTCTGTCGTAAAAAAATCAATTCTCTTCCCTAAAAATGATAAACAGTAAAATACTATTGATAGCACTATTTGTTCTATACTCCACGGAAAATACATCATCTGATATATAAATTATATTTAGAAATGATTCATGTTGACAAGTTATTGGTCACAAATATATATTGAATAATATTTTCCTCATCATAAAACAAAAACCTAATAATAGAACTAATAATTTTATTTTTCCTGTTTCAGAGAAAATGAGTCGACAATCCTGAGATAAAATTGTTCTACATGATACAAACATCTCCACACACATGAGATTGTAAATAATTATCAACAAAAAAAGCACGTCGTACATAAAAATACCTAGTAGGATTGAATACTGAAACTACTACCGAAAAAATACGAATGAATAGGAATTGAATAAAATACTTGACATTTTCGTGTGTGTAGGTTATAAAAGTGCAATGAAGTTCAATGCAAATTCAAAAATAGTAATTAGAGCCGGAATCTATTCAGTTGAACCTTTCGGTTAATTCTTTTTTTTTTATCTCTTGGCAGAGTGCTTTGCTTTTCATCACATTTTTTGAGATTCTATCGAAATAACTAGATAAAATTTAATTGACTCACTTTGTCATTTACGAAGATTTTTTAATAGCCTGTTGGCCAGTAAGATATTTAAATGATATGCAGTCGATCCTAATATCACGAACTATTATAAAATTTATTAGGATGTTTAATATTACTGTGTAAATTGAGATTTCATAATGGACAGAAGTAAAGATGGAGCTGAGACAACGAGAATGACAGAATGCCCTTCCAGTTATTTAAATATTATATTTTTAAATTTAATGTATGTATGAATATTAATTATTACTAATTCAAATATAAGTCTTGCTTCACGAGTGTTAAAACTCTTTTAAAATTAGTTTGTAAGATAATTATTATCAATTACCTCAGAATAATAATTACTAAAAATCATATTTCTTCGTACGCTCGTGAATAATGTGTATAATAATTATTATTATCATAATAATAATCTTATTCATACATACGAAATAATTCAGTATCTGCTGCAAATAGTTAACTTATTTTTTTTAAGTTTGTTCTTAATTTAATACAATAAAAAATATAATGAATAACTTAAATCAAAGTTATTGATTTGTAAGAACAAACATTTCCCAAAGTATTGTAAAAGTAATGAAAATTTTATTACGCGTAAAAAATAAATATTGTACAGAGGCTCACGAAATAATTTTAAATTAATTTTTTTGTTTAAAAAATTCGTAAATTATTTATTTTATTCACATACCGTCATCAGCTGGAACTTCACATTCCTCTATTTCATTCATCCCAGGTTTATAAACTTTGAATGCAAAATTACTCCTAAGAAATGTCCCCGGATTAATTACTTTGCAATCACTGTAACTGGTTGAATAAGTTTGAAACTGATCAGCTATAACAATGAGATCAGGGGTTGGGTATAATTGCAAAGTGTGATCGTGCTTCCAATAAACTGGAACTACTGGCAAATTCATTGGAGCCAAGTGTGATTGACAAATAATAGATCTTGCATACTGAAATTGAAAATCACTTTTATTGTTTTCAGTATTTGTCACAAAAGCCCGTTTTGATACTTTAATTGAAATTTGTGAAGCATGATAATCTTTGTGAATTATAAAATACCATTATAAATGAACATAATAATAATGAAAGAAAAGTTTTCAAATTAAATACTTACGTGATTCCATACATGACCATGTTCAGGGTACTTCAATGTATGTCTACAAAATTTTGTTAAAATATCTTCTCTTAGTACAACAATTTCTTTTGTACAATACTGAATTCTGCACGGATTGCTAGCAAATATTGTGCCAGGTACTAATCTGATGAAATCATTAAGAAGAGTCTTGGGTAAAGGACCTCTAGGCAATATTTTTGGAGCTCCCAAGTCCAAAGGTCCCGGAACAAATACAAATTTAGAGTATTGACGAACGTCTGGATATTCTTGAATTATTTTTGCCAAATTAGTAAAGCCTTCTTTTAATTTTTGTACGCTAGTGTTACTTGGTGGAGATGATAAAAAGTGACCACAGAGTACAAAGGCCACTGGAGGATCTTCTGAATATCCATCTATGATGACTTTCAATTTATTTAAAACGTCTGAATTATCCAGCCATACGTCTGATATAAAAACAATCATATCTCCGCTATGAGATTGTTCGTATGCTTTGAGTTTTTCCGAGAACTTCAATGATGTTTTATGAGGGCCGCCAAAGGTATTATCTGCTCCAAAGCCTATTCTTGCATCGGCTGATGGTTCTGCTGGAGGGAGACCTATTTCACTAACTTCTAATATTCCTTCATTATAAATACCATTAACTATTACGATGCATCCTTCTGCAATAAGACCGGGTGCAAAAGTGTATTTTTAAGTTAAGGAGAAAATTAGTTATGTTCAATTCTAATTTATAATTAATATTATAATTATATTTATGAAAAGGATATTGCTTGTTTTAAATCGACTTTGATAGCACCACCAGCATCTTCCAAATAATACTGTCCTTCTGTGAGTTGTGATAAAATTCCCATTACGAAAACATCACCATTTCTACAATTGCTAAGTAATTGCTCTATCGAAGTCAGTTCATACTTTTCCTCACTTATCTCTCTAATTTTTTTAGGAGCAAATGGCTCTTGTTTTAAAGTCACGTATTTTAGTAAACTTAATCGATCTCTAAAAATACTTGATTTGTGAATGGCATCAACGAATAACTCTGATGATACTTTTTGCAGGGTTAATTTTTTTTTATCGATGTCATATATCACTTTAGGGATGTTGAACATATTTATCACGTTAAATATAGTTTCTGATTCATGTAAGGCATCATCTGGTCGTAAGCATTCTTTGATCGCTTCTTTAACATGTTCTAATGTGATGTGTGGTGTAGATAAATTCAAATTTGAGAGTTGATCTGTGATATTTATTAACCAAACTTCTCGTTCATCAGCACTCACAGTCTTCAGTTGTCGAGCTATATATGTACTTATATCTCTAAAAAAAATACTCATTGTTAGGTAAACAAATTCAACTTTGAAAAATCATACATTACTATTATTTATCATGTATTGTTTATTATAAGTGGTGTACTCTAGGTTAGTGAACAAGTTGTGTTAATTTATCCATATTTTTTTAAATACTAATTATGTGCTAAGTTTTGTATTCTGAACGAAAAATTTTGAATAAAACAACGGTATAAATATACCTCGTAATATTAAAGCCATACATTGAGAATGTACTTTGAATATTTTTAATTAATTTTGCATCTGACATAGTGAAAAATTTAATAAAAAAATTACTTATTTTTAAAGTAATATAAACTACTATACTACTATAATAATTAATTAAATAAAAATAATGAAAAATAAAAAAATAACACATTAACGCTGTTGTTTACACAACCGGCATTTTTTGTAGGTTAGAAAACTGTTGATAATAAAGAAATTACACTGCCACACAATTTACTTACCATCAGTAGAAAAAAATTCTCTTGAATATGTGAATCATAACCTTTACAACTGATAAATTGAAAAATAAAAAACAAGTACATTTTTGTTCCTGAAAATATCATTTATTCTTTTTTAACAATAACATTGAAAATAAATATCAACAATGGCTCAGAGTACTGAGAAAGAAGGAAAAAATAAAAAAGATCCCATTTTTCGAAATCTGACAGCTGATGATCTTGAACCAGAGGCATCAGTTATTGAAAGTTTATGCATGAATTGTGGTGAGAATGTACGATGAATTTTATTCTTCAATATTGTTGATTTATTACAAAGATGAAAATTATTGATGTAATGTTTTTACAGGGTATTACTCGATTATTGTTAACGAAAATTCCTCATTACAAGGATGTAATATTGATGTCATTCGATTGCGAACATTGTGGATTTCAAAATAATGAAATCCAAAGTGGAGGAAAAATTCAAGATAAAGGAATTAGAATTCAATTAAATGTTACTAATGAAAGTGATTTAAATCGTCAGGTCGTTAAGTCTGATTATACTAGCATTAAAATCCCTGAATTGGATTTTGAAATTCCATCACAATCTCAGAAAGGAGGTACATTTATCTTTAAACTAAATCAATCCATTCCCTTTGGCTAAAAAAATGATTTTTGTTACTTAAAATTATTTGACAATTCCATGATAGCAAAATATTTATTCTATTTTATTTACTCTGCAGAAATAACTACAGTCGAAGGTATTATCGATAGAAGTATAAGCGGTTTAGAGCAAGATCAGCCGAGAAGAAGGGAAGAAAATCCAGATACAGCTGCAGGAATCGATTTATTTATTGCTAAATTACGTGGACTGAAGCTACTTGATAGTCCATTTACGATAATCTTCGAGGATATTACTGGAGAGTGTCATGTAGAAAATCCTAATGCTCCACGGAAAGATCATAACTGTACAACTTCCTACTTCGTAAGATCAGAAGAGCAGAATAAATTATTAGGTATTTATGTTGAAAACAGTGAAGGACTGTTAAAGCCTATTGAACCAGGATCTTTTCCATTGGAAGAACTAGAGGGAGAAGTTTTACAATTTCCAACTAACTGTCCAGACTGTAATTGTCCTTGTACAACCAACATGAAGATGACAAGTATCCTTTTTTATTTAGAAACGATTAACATTTATCACAAAAATCTTTACGTCTTCCTTAATACAATATATAGACATCCCCCATTTTAAAGAGGTAGTGATCATGGCTACAATTTGTGACTCCTGTGGTCACAAAACTAATGAAGTTAAAAGCGGAAGTGGAGTAGAACCTCAAGGGATCAGGATAGAAGTATTAGTGAAAGGTAAAGAGGATTTTAGTAGAGACGTTTTAAAATCTGAGACTTGTTCGATGGAGATACCAGAACTTGAATTGGAAGTTGGACCAGCTGCATTAGGTGGGCGTTTTACCACTATTGAGGGTATTTTAGCTGCAACTAAAGAACAACTGCTATCTAATTCTATACTCACTGGCGACAGTACAGATAAAATAACTGCTACGAGATTGAATGAATTTATTACCACATTGGATGAAGTTTTGAATGGAGAACGTCAAGTAACGATTGTTCTTGATGATCCTGCTGGAAATAGTTATGTTCAAAGTTTGTCAGATGTGGGATGTGATGAGCGATTAGAGATTATTAAGTATGATAGAAGCTTTGAACAAAATGAAGAGCTTGGGTTAAATGACATGAAAGTAGAAAATTACGCATAATTTTCTGATCATGTTTTAATATATTATAGTACTAAATTCTTTACAGTTCATTGATTTATACATCTCATTAGTTAATAGTCATCTGGATGGCTGTAAAGAAGAAAAGAAATGTTACTATCAATATTATCAACATATTTATGAAAATAATTTTTATTAAAAAGATAATATACACGATGGGGATAGAGTCGAGTTTTTTTAGTTTAGGAAGCCTTCGAATGACCTGTGTTCTCCATGCTTCTGGCTCCAAATTATCACAAATAGGATTATTTACAAAAAGAAGGTCCTGAAGATTTGGAATTTCTTGGAGACGATTAAACTCTGCCCAATCTTTTACTAAATTATTACCCATGTATAAAACTTTTAGTGCTTTAAAGGCACTTACACCTTTTATTTTTTCAATCATATTGTAAGAGATCCATAATTCTTCTAAATGATCTCCAACTACCTCTAGACCAGAGAATGTCTTTATATAGTTACGACCAATAGATAAAATTTTTAAATTCTTCAAAGAGTCAAGGTGAGATATTTTTTCAATCATATTTGTTGATAGAGACAGCATTCTAAACATAACGTTTTATTTTCGTTAGTAAAATTAAATTTTTACAAAGAACTGAAGATAAAAAAGAATTATGATATTATTCAAGCTCACTCTACATTCTTTAGAAGAGATAACCCGTTGTCCATTTTGTCAATCGGAGGCCATTGAAATGACAAAATTACTTCTTTTTCTGTTTCCGCGGATTTTCCTGTACTCTCTTCCCACCTTTTTATGGCTTCTTTGCAGGAAGTTGACTTGGCCTGTTAAATGAAGTTACGATAAAATTCGTTAGTAAACCAAACACAAATATTACCATCGTAAATCTAGGATTAAGATGAGCTTATGAATGAATGAATGAATGAAGGTCAAAGATAATTTAACAAGTTTGCGTTGCGATTGTTATGTTACACCAAGATAACGTGATAATCGTATTATCCTGAATGTGCATTCTTTAGTTATCGGCACTCCGAGCATGTTTGGAATGGTTTCCATGAAAACAGTAACTCGAGTTGATATATGTTATCAATTGTCTATTTTATCATTTTACAATCATCTGAAAATGGAAAATCAGTGTTCCGTGTAGATTTTTTATCGTTATCATTTGTTGATTGTAGCTTTGTTTACAAAAATTATTTTTATGGATTGAATCAGTCATTCAGATTTTACAAAATTTTTCAATAATTTACTTACTTTAATTATGAAAAGTGCTAATTTATTTACACAAAATTCAGATTTTCATTTATCTTGATGATACTGAAAAAAACGTCTTTTTAAAATTCCCGCCGTGAATAATATCGCAATATAAAAAATCGATATAATGTGATCGATTGAATAATCGACTGATTAAAAAAGAAAATATGGCAACGTAAGAGAAGAAGGTTTTTCATCGTAAAAAAGTGAAATTATTAAAAAAATTTAAAACGTCTATATTTAGAGTTTTTTGATAAATAAACAAAATAAAAACAAAGTTTGAATGATAAATCAATACTACGTGAAGTTAGTTATCGAAATTGAAAATTGAACGGAGAGAAGTTCATAATTTAGTCGTCAGTGGCAGGTTTGTCGCTAAAGATGGCCGATAGTCAATGGCTGCCGCGTAACGAACGCCGTGTGGTTTTGTCGGCTGTCTGGCCACTGACTTGATTTTAAGTTCATAAAAAGTGTGTCCGCCCGCTAATAAATTGATAATTTCAACCACCGGTGGTTGATAAAATGCCAAACAAGCAAAAAAAAGACAAGGTGCGTTTATTAAGATAATTGAGGAGGTGTTTTAAGGTTCTCGTGGTGATTCTTCGTGGCAGAACGGTGTTTTTTTCTCTGCTGTGTCTTCGTGTAGCACATAGCAGCAATTCTAGGCTTGGGGGGGACTCAACCCTGGCGGTCTTGGCTTCACCGTACACGTATCCTGACTACCACCCGCTTTTAATTCAAGGGTATTGCGTCGTTAATTTCGCAACCACCATCCTACATACTTACAAGAAGAGAATTCCGCGAATTTAATCTCCTTCCCGAGCAATTTACGCGTATTATCACCAAAATAATGGTATTGTTTCTATCTTTCTGTCTCTATCTCATCATTTACTGCATTTTTTTACTCAAGTTCATGTACTCCTCCCTTCATTCATACATCACGCGATCCTCAACAGACTTTTAGATCATTTGTTTTGTTCTAGGAGTCCATCAAGACCAAGGACAAGGGCAAAAATGGAAAGGATCTAGAACCTGGAGAAGAGGTGAGGTTAAAAACCAGCTAATCTATGGAATCATTTGCTGAATATTATTAACACATGTTGATAAATATTTTTATCATCTTCTATTACTCATATATAAGCATATAGATATGCCAACACTCTGTAAGTTCTCAATGTACTCATTGGGAAACAAAGCCCTTTTGATCTTGAGGCGTTTCTTGTTTAGTTACTATTTAAATGTGGTGTTTAAACCGTTATTGTGACGGCTGATGATAAGTGACATAAAATATCTTTCAGTTGGGCTATTATTCTTTGGAGTTTTGGAACTGTGATGGATAAGTACGCTTTCAATTTAATCTCTCAATCATTTTTTATCATTAATTTACTTGAATATTATTAATTGCTAAGATATAGGAGGAATGAGTGTCAGTTGACATCGCAAAGTGAATTGTGTGTCAGTAATCATTTGTTCAGGTCTGTCTACATTGGCATTTTCTGGCAATTAGACAAGCGATAAATATACTTGACAGCTTAACTAAGCATTCGTCTTCTGAAAATTATCTGTCAATATACGAAATTATCAGTTGCAAATTGATTTGTCAAGAATTTCTCATCAAGTTATTAACAATTCAATTTTCTTCTAATTATATTATGGTATTGTGATTCGTTAGATCTTCATAATCTTCAGTCTTATGTAATCATTGTAGATACATTTTTTTTGATCATCACTATGAGAGATAATAAACGTGTTGAGTTAACTGGACAAGACTTTTAGTAGTAGAGCTGGAATAGAAAAGAATCTTGTGACTTTACCTTCGGAGCTCCACCTGCTATTCAGTGCTTCAATAAGTCGAAAAAAGATATCACTACGAGTCTTCGATTATTGTAAAACGGGGTTTTCTTTCTTGCGGTATCAATACTATGTATTTGCACCGCAAAAAATATACCTACATAAACAAAAATATCAAGATACACTTGATGAGTAATCTGTTGAATTTTGCATAACAATTGAAACAGAATATTGTTCATGCAATTAATTTAAAAATTTTATCCTTTCTTGTTATTTATCGTTTTTAAAGATATTTTTCCTCTATTCATTGTTTCTTTGGTTGTTTATTCTGGTATAAAAATCATTATATTGTATTAATGATTATTTCACAATCAGCTGTTATTATTGTATTTTTTTTTCAGATCAATATATAGTAGAATATTTTTAATGAAGATTTTTAGCAGATGTTTGGCCTTCGGAGCACGAAGAAAAAAAAATAATGATAGGACGTTTTTGTTTAGCTTATGAGAAAACTAAACCTCAGTTGTCACTTGTTGTTATCATCAGTATCTTCTCTATTTATAAATCACTTTTATTACTGCCTTTCTTATTGTGTTTTTTTTAAAAATTAGCATTCTTATTTTTTCTTCGATTCATTAAACATGATGTGACCAAAAACACTGTTGCTTCTTGAAAGTGGATAATGACCAGAGAGTAGTATTTATAATTATAGAGAATGACCTAATTTTTCTCTGAATTTTGCTTGTATTTACCATTATCATAAATTTATTCTCCATTTATTTATAGATTATTGATGTATTAAATATTTTTGCATACTTAATCTCAGCTGTTGTAGCAGATTGAACTACTTTTTCTCTCAAGAAAACTATAAATAATTTTCAATGAAATGTTGAATTTTTAAAAAAAGTATTATCGGTCTCATGGAATAAAAATGATCATCTTTTTCTCTATAGATTACGTGAGGGAATCTCAATCTCACATGTCACTTTGTCTTATCATTGATGCCTTTTCTATTTATAATCTCCGCTTGTATAATCGCTTTTTTTCAATTTGCTGTGGTTGTCAATGAGATTTTTATTAGCTCTACGCCTCACATATTGGTTAGAAAAATCTAAAGGATTTAATTTGTTTATTATTCAGCAAAAAAATTATGGAAATGATTTTCTTCTTCATCATCATTTTAAACATTTTTTTTTTCAAAAGGTATTTTATTTTTAATCATTTTCTGATTTGTTTATCCTAGTTATTGCAAAATTTCAAATCACTGATGAGAGTGATGTGTATTATGGATGTTGGTAGCTTTTTCTTGAGAAAATAAAATATTAGAAACTTCTTTTAACATAAGATTGATAATGTTGATTTATATTTATCACTGAAACTTTCCAATAAATTGATTCTCCATTATAACAATTTTAATGTTAGAAAATGCTGTACTCGTCATGTTTAATTCAAGCATTTTTTTATAATACTTTCACCATTTTGTTTGTGATTCATAGTTTTATAAAGCTTGTCGATGTATTGCATTTTTCAACGGCATTATCATTGCTCTAAATTCAAGTTTGCTACAAAAAAAATGTATACAAAAATTTTCATCGGAGGTACATTTGTTCTTCAAAGGTTTTAGTGCACAAAGACCAAGATAAAAAGAATCATCTATAAGCTATAAGCCAGATAACTCTAGATTTTTTATTTGCTCTTTCAAAAAGAAAATCTATTTCAAGTTGGATATATATAAAAAGCATCCCAATATCAAAATATATGTCCATGCATTCTTTCCATCCCACGCAGTTGATTTTTTTGTCCGATGGTTTATGAATCAAATCATGAACAAATTCTTTCATGTAGGTTTCACGTTTAGTTGAGTATAAGAAAGAGAGAGTTTAGCTGGTAGTATTTGGGTAAATTAACTAAGTAAACAGTTAAAGAAAGTGTTGAGGACTAGAGTCTGAGTATATTGAACTCTCAAGTATTAGGATATATAGAACAAGGTAATCTGACAAACATGTTTACGTCACAGTAGCTTGGACTAGTCAAAGTAATTTAAAAATGTCAACTAAATAGGAGAGAACATCCGCCTCTGAACAACTTGCTATCTTTGCTCTCGTCTCTCTTTCTCTCTTGGTCTCTCTCTTTGGTAAACGACGCAATACATATCTCAGGGACAGTCACTGTGATATGTGTAGTCGAGAAATGTTCACGTGAACTGGTGAACGCGCAGTTCCTCGATCCTTTGCTAATGCGTTAACGAATCGATTGACAACAATTATCAATAAGATTTATCATTGTGCCATATGTGTGATTCATGCCAATGATTGGCCAAGTTTTTCTCATATTTTCATCATTTTGTAGCTTCAAATCAACATACTCATAAGCTAGATTGGACTTTAACTTGGAATCATCTTACAGATGACCATGTTTATAAATTAAAAATCTTGTGTTTTAATGCTTTGTCTTTTTCTTATGTTGTATCTATAAATGTAAACGCTTCGTCGCGCCTGCTCGTCGACATTCACTGTCGTGTGCAGGCTCTCGTGGCGGGTGAATTGTAATTACGGCTACAATGACAACCGCATCGGCGTGCCACTGGCCGATTGCTCGCCAAAACGTGTCGCAAGTAATTCGATTCTCGGTCACGAGCGTGATAGTCATTTTTATAATTGCCAGTGCCATTCTGCGACCTTGTTGTGAGACCACAATCAAAGCTTCTACGAGGAAAAAAAGATCGAAATCGATTAGAGGTGTTGACAAAAGTGTTTATGAGGATAACGATCTCGATGTCCATTCATTCACGATTCAGCATCCACAGGTTTTGATGGTTTTGTGAAATCATTCAGTTTATGAGCAATAATATCAAGTGCCGACTGGTTATTTCGCAATTACGATAATATTGATATTGTCGAACTATCGAATTAACTGTCAATTTAATTGCGCATGGAAATTCAAAGTCTTCTGGCGTTGCCCGCCAATTTCAGATGTTTAATCATGCGCTCTAGATTGAAGATTATTGTTAAAATTTTTATACCTGTGTTTATTTTGTGATATTCCACCTGGCGAACTGTTTTTTTTCTGAAATGCAAAGTAAAATGCAGTCATTTAGTAACTTAGCTTTTGGAAATGTCTTCAGGAAAAAGGCATGTTATCTAACTTTATTTTTATTTTATTTATTATCTCTTTATAAGTGTAATATACATTTGATACATTTTTTCTTCGTTGATATTTGTCGATAATAGTCTTTAGATGGATTATGTACCAGATAAGATAGCGATTGACCGTATGAGTTATTGTCCAATGCATGATGATAATGTAATAAGTCCTGTTTCTACTAAATCAGAATTGATCTAGGCCGTGCCATTCTTTTTTCCAGTATTAAAACGATTACTTGATATTCTAGCCAGTATTATCTGTATTTTTTTAAATTCATCTAAGCTGGCTTATCAAGCAAATATTGCTAATATTTTCTAATAAATTTTATCTTTTTTTTTATCGTTAAAATGTCAGCTACATAAATTTATGCAAATAAGGAATATTATTTGTATATTGTTTGTTTTTTTATCGTAATATTAATGCACATCTCCAAGACTTTAAATTTCTTAGTTAAGACTTTTTACTTAAAAGTTGTTTGTTCAGAATGTCTTTGAACTAAAAATTTATTGATTATTTAATCTATTTTGATGGTTTTAATTTTAGAACAATAATGATAAATGAAACTCTAATAAATGTTCCCTAGTGACATTGTTTTTTTAATAAAAAATCATTTTGATTATAGTGTTAAGTGTGATAATAATGATGAATTGTTTATAGTAATTTAATCCTTGCTATTTTGATCCTTGTTATCATTAGAACAACAAGGTGGCTGGTGGACCACCGGGAAGTAGTCCTCCGCCCCCGCCAACGTTGATCAACAAGATGAAGTATCAAGCTGGTGGTCCTGTCATCAAGAAGGATAAACGTCAGAATAGTTCTAGGTTCAATATATCCAAGAACCGTGAATTACAAAAATTACCCCTCATCTCAGGTGAGTTATTTATATTAATAAAGTGAAAACATTAGTTCCAATCAATTAATTTTTTAGTTGTCTTATTTTCATCTAACGTCATGCATATTTTATCGGAGGAGAGTCCAAATATCATTATGCTATTGCGTCTATCTTCAACTAAACATGAAAATATAGTTGAAGTTTATTTCAATCTAAAAAAAAAAATATTCCAACAAATCTACCCATTTTGTTTTTTGTTTCATTCTAAAAAGTATAAATGGAAATGAATTTTTACTTTGAAAAATGTTCGATGGAATTTTTGTAATTGATGTGAACATAGGTACCACAGTTGTTGTCAAATGAAAAATTTTTCGCTATAAAAAAGAGTCAATGGACTGAATTTTTTTATTAGGTTTGAGAAATGCAATAATATAATTCATCAGTTCCAAATAGTATCACTTGAAAAAAAAAACAAGAGATCAAAGTAAAGTTTGAAACATTGCCACTTGTGTCATCATACATTTTAAAATCTAGGACAATGTTGTACTTTTTTACGATATTACACGACAATTTTATATACAAAACAAAATTTAATTAAATAAGCACCTAATAAAATGACAAATCGGGGTTTAATGTACTTCTATCAAGCCATAGATATCTATTTGTATCGATTATCAATAGATCAACAACTGTCACTACTTTCGTTTAAGGTGAATAAAACATTTCTAGTTAAGACCATTTAAGGTCAATGTTCAATATTGAATTTAGTATTTAGGCAAAAATAACCTCAGTAAAAACAGAAGAATAATTGTACATATACATTTATTACAAATGAATGAAGTTTCTAAAAGTATAGCTGCCTACGTGAGCTGCATATTTAAGTATCGGACTTTATAACAACGATTGATACTTGGTATTAAAAATACATCAATTTATAGTCAGTGAAATTGACGCAGAATAAGGCGATTGAGTGAGATAAAAATGTGCACCCTGGCCTTTCTCAACATTTTAACCCTTCTTCAGTTACATTTGAGTGAACCAGTCGAGTCTTGTCTGTGTGATTCTCTTCGCAAGAATATATTGTCTACGTCAGAGAATATCGATTGTTCACGGGGTCGCGCAGACGCTACGAGGTCGTCGTGTTTCTGGTCCCTAGCCTCGAGTTTAGAAGTAAACAGTTACCCTTAAAGCGTGCAACAACCCTCACAACGGACTCTTAGGCTTTAATTGCGTATTTATCTACTCGTTTCCGCATCAAAGACCTTTTGTAATTGTATTAGTTAACTTTATAAATCATACTAATCATACCAGTCTGTGGTCTTGATAAAAATCTGCAAATAACTGCTTATAATCGATTTTTTGCTCTAATGACTTTTGACATTTGTATCAAATTCTTTTGCAATCATAAAAATATCAAGTGAGGTCCTAAATTTGTTATACATCAACGTCTTTACGTCTTCCAAGTCGACAAACCAATTTTTCCGTCCACTAAGATATTTATTCCAGTGGAAAATTTTGTTATAATTATTGAAGATTTTTATTATTAAACGGTGTGGTTTGTATTAATTAAAGAGTATATAGTATAGAGAAATAAGCAGAGCTTGATTGGATCTATAAGTAAAGAGTTGAAACAGTGGAAATTGACCAGGAAAAAATTATTTCACTGTGTCAGTAGGGTGATAGTACGCAGTACTGAGTTTGAATGATCCTATAGTCGGTGACGGGAGCATTGCCCGAATTTGACCTCTAAACGCGAACACGATGGTTCATGTCGGCGGTATAAGTCCTTCGTTGGGTAGTGGTTTACCAAAAAGTCCAAGTTTTCATCAGGGTCTTGCATTTGCTGCGGTTTTACCCCAAGATTCCAATAAACAATATCAAACTATTTCTGCTCTTCACTATCAACCACTTCAACCCTTACTCATTGGTAAATAAGTTACTGCTTAATGTATCGGAAAATAAATTTTCTACCAATATTAGTTTCTTTATTTATTTAATTTTCTGTCTGAATGAAAGATTGTGATTCTATTTATTTTTTCTTTTTACTTTAATTAATTGGAACTTTTGTTTTTGTATTTATGTTTTTTTTTCTATTTTATTTGATCAATTTACACCCTTCATTTTTTTTATGATTGCAGATGCACAACAAGCAAATGAAAGAGAAGAACTTTTTATTCAAAAACTCCGACAGTGTTGCGTTCTCTTTGACTTTGAATCCGATCCACTTTCTGATTTAAAATGGAAGGAAGTAAAGCGCGGTGCGCTTTTAGAGATGGTTGAATATGTAACAAAAAATAAAAATGTTATTACTGAGGCGATATATCCCGAGGCAGTGAATATGGTATGTTATATTTTTGTAAAAGTTTTTTTTTGTTTTATCCATTGTCTGATTGTTATTTAATAAATGATTTTTTATTTATTTTTTGGAAACATTGGTATAATATCTAAAAATTCTCAGAACTTATTTTATACTTGTTTTCATTAATTAACAAAAAAAATTCCATCTGTAGTTTGCTGTTAATCTATTCCGGACTCTTCCACCATCATCCAATCCGAATGGAGCTGAGTTTGACCCGGAAGAAGATGAACCAACTTTAGAGGCGGCTTGGCCACATTTACAACTGGTGTATGAATTTTTCCTACGACTTCTCGAGTCTCAAGACTTCCAGCCTACTGTAGCAAAGCGGTTTATAGACCACAAGTTTGTTCTACAGCTGTTGGAGCTTTTTGATTCAGAAGATCCACGAGAGAGAGATTTCTTAAAGACGACACTCCACAGAATTTATGGAAAGTTTCTTGGTCTCAGAGCATACATAAGAAAACAGATAAACAATGTGTTTTATCGGTTTATCTATGAAACGGAGCATCACAATGGAATAGCAGAATTGTTAGAGATACTTGGAAGGTGATAGAATAATTCGTGATAGTGTTTTTCAATCCATATTTAAACTAGGACAATAAGCTTAACGATTATTTTTGTTATTGCAGTATTATCAATGGCTTCGCATTGCCGCTTAAAGAGGAACACAAAGTATTCTTGTTAAAAGTTCTTTTACCTCTTCATAAAGCCAAGTCTTTATCCGTTTACCATCCACAACTTGCGTACTGTGTTGTACAGTTCTTGGAAAAAGATCCAAACTTGACAGAGCCAGTAATAAAAAATCTGCTCAAGTTTTGGCCAAAAACTCATTCACCTAAAGAGGTCATGTTTCTCAATGAGCTTGAAGAGATCTTAGATGTTATTGAGCCAGCAGAATTTCAAAAAGTTATGGATCCTCTTTTTAGGCAACTCGCTAAAAGTGTCTCTTCACCACACTTTCAGGTATGAGAAATGATTCATTATTTTCATAATCATTGTGGTGTTTAATAATATTTTCAATTATGTAATTAATTAATTATTCATTTTATTATTTAACTTCCAGGTGGCTGAGAGAACATTATACTATTGGAATAATGAATATATAATGTCTTTAATATCTGATAATTACTCTTTTATTTTACCAATTATGTATCCGGCATTATATAAAAATTCTCGCAATCATTGGAATAAAACAATTCATGGATTGATTTATAATGCTTTAAAACGTTTAATGGAAATGAATCAAAAAGTATTTGACGAATGTACTCAGCAATATATTCAAGTAATTATTTTTCATTTTTATCTTTTTAATGTATAAATATTTATGCTGTTGAAGGTATTTTAAATATATATTTTGTACTGTTAGGATCGACAAAAAGAAAAAAGATTGATGAAAGATCGAGATGAGGCGTGGAATCGTGTGGAAAATCTTGCTATGCGGCATCCAAATTATGCAGTGATGACGCAAGCTATCCAAAATAATTCGCACAATCTGTCGCAGCATTTGGATAGTCCTCCATTGGATGATGATGCTGACAACGACACAACTCCGCTTACATTAGAAAAAATTGAGGCTAAGGCTAACGAGGTAAAAATGATCTCTAATTAATGTAATCATTGCACAGTAACATAAATCAAAAGAAATGTTAGTATGATGTAAACATTTTTTATGATATACTTAGTACATAAATAATTTATATTCATTCATTGAATAATCAAGGAATGAATTTCTGGGTTTTAGGCAAAGAAGATGTCAAATTCTAACAAAGCGAAGCCGTTGTTGCGAAGAAAGAGTGAATTACCTCATGACTCTTACACGATTCGAGCTCTTTCAGATCATAAACGTGCTGACGAATACCTCGTTACACCGCCTGATCCAAACAACTGCTAGTCTTTGTCGAATTCCCTTCCAATGTATCCTCTGTTCTGCTGCAGATACTCCAGCGTTTGACCTCTGAAACTGAGTGAAAATTTCAATTTTGTGGAAAATGACTTTAAATGCGGATGCCGGATGTCTGTTTTTCTTCTGTTATTAAGTGTGTTAATTTATACAGAAAACATAAAGTAACAGTAAAAATTAACGATCCAACTAATGACAGAAGAAGAAGAATACCACGCAGACGGTTATTATAAACGTCCTTTGGATAAATAAACGACTATAAAACACTAAAAATTCAGCTTGCCTGCGGTATTATCCGCCGACAGATCTCATCAAATGGCGTAGCCTATGATGTGAAAATTGAAAAAAGAAAATACAATCCCTCGTAAGACTTTTTGTACAATGAGAAGTTACTTTGCTGTGCTTTATAATGAGCGACACTAACAATTATTAAGAAGATTAGAAAATATTAAGTTTAATTGGTTTTTAGTGCTAGCTGTAAATTACATCGACTGCGAAAATACAAATATTAGTATATATTGTTTGATATTTGAAAACTTTCGGTCCTTAACCACGTGTTTTTGCAATATCGCCAAAATTTTCTCGAGGTTTAAGGAATCAAATGGACTGCCTCAAAAAAATAAGCAAGCACCAAGATGTCAAGGCCACTCAAATGTTAGTTATTATTAGATGTTTAAGAAAAATATTTAAAGAAATCCTTATATCATCAGGCCGAATCATTATTCCACTAGATGCCTTCTGTCATACATAACCCAGCAAGTCAAAAAAATCAATCGGTTAACTGTAATCAGCGTTTGTAAAACTTTAGAATCGTTCGCTTAACGTTGACATGCCAATCATTTAATTTTTACATTAGAAGTTTTTTGGTCTTGCTATGTCGTGTCTAAAAGTGATGTATAACATACTAGATTACAAAAAAAAAAGATTAAAAAACAAAAAAATAAATGAAAAAAATAAGTAAAACGAATCTTGTAAGTCTTTATGCTGCTGGCAGGCTGTTATGTTAATATAAACTGATAAACATTGTTGAAGAATGGATATAATGAACTCTTATATTGATTATATTAAATTGAAGCGAAAACTAAAGGAAAACAATTAACATGATTTGATTAATCGATTCGTAAAAATTATATAGTCACCACTTCTGCTGAGCGTTGTTTATTAGTATTATGATTACAGTTATATTCTAATAATAAATAAAAAAAATATGAATGTGTATAAAAATAAGAACGAATTTAAAGTATCAAAGCTTTATGGCTATTGATAATATGTTGTAAAATTCTGACCTTCGCGAATATTTTTGAGATATGCGGATGGTAATAATGATATTAAGTCTGGTCTTTTTTTAAAGAGGAGAATCACAAAGCTCGTTAATTATTTCGTGAAATGTTATATTATATGTCAACAATGTTGATCAAAAGTAATATTGAGTATATTGAGTAAATTTGTATGAGTGTCATGACACGTATGCAAATGCTTTATATGGAAACCTGTAGACAGGATAAACGAAAAACACTGTTAGGAATATCCATCTTTTATATATATTTACGTTATTATAAATTATATTTAACTAAAAAAATTTAATAAATTCTAATTTCTATCGCGGAACTTGTTTAATGTTTCATTATTTTGACAAAAGTGAGAGCTCGTTTTTAAAAGACATATGAATTTGAATTGAATATTCTCTTTGAGAAACAAAGTGAAATTATTTACAACATTGTAAATATTATGTAAATAATGTAATTGCGTTCTAGAATCAACAATGTTGTATTGATAAATGGTGTAGGTTTACTGAATTATTTCAGGCACAATCTGTCAAGTCGGAGTAGTTTTTTGCGTTTAGACAATAACAAATGGAACCACTAATTCTTTACTATAAATTTTAGGAATTTGTATACAATATTTCTTCATACTATTAAAATAAATTTCTATTTTGTTTATCATAACTATCGATAAAGCCAAAGTTATAAATAAACATTTAATTATGTAAGTGGTGCTGCATGATCGATCACTTCTATGACACACGAAATCAAATACAATAATTATAGGAGTAGAGTTTTATAGTTAATAATATAGAATCATGTAAAATTACAGTATTAAAATATTTATCTTGTTCATAGCTGAATCAAAAATTATATTGTCGGTTTATGTGTAAAATTTTAATGAATTAATAATATGGAAATGCTAAATAATATTTGCACTTTTTAGATGATGAAATTAACTTGTTCTTTATAAAAAAAATACAGCAGCATCAAATATTAATATTTGGATATTAAATTTATAAAAAAAAATTAACATAGTAAAATTATTAAATGTTTAATTGAGATGACTGTGTGAATTTTTAAAGCGAGCTCTGTGGTTTATCCTCAATTTTTTAAACTTTTTTTACCTCATTTTTTCTTTTCAAGTGAATTATTCTATTCCTTTTCATACAGAAGACAATTAAGTTTGTAATTTGTTAAAGGCGTAGTTTTATAATGAATAAAGAATCAAGAAGTTCAGATAATTATTATTAAGTAGTTTTTATGTATCTAAAGAATAATAATTAAGTATTATTTCGATTGAAAAATATTTTCTTGTATGAAAATAAAAATTTATATTAAACTTTCGTGGTAAAACAGCTTTCATATCATCTTTAATTTTTTTCAAATACCTCTGCTATAATTCAAATCATTGAAAAAAAAATTTATTTCTAATTTAGAATTTCATTAATTTTCCTTTGTAATTTCATTAAAAAATATTTACATTTGTTGTAATGTTATTTACCTACAAATGATGCACGGTTAATGGCGCTTGGGTTAAGTTTTGTCTTTTAGAATATACAGTAAACGCTATTTTATTAATCTTTATTATTTATCGTGATAATAATTATAACATTTAGACATATAGTTAATTTTTTTAAATTAAAAAATTCAAAAATGATTTCAAAAAATGGCAAACAAAGATGGAGGGCATTATCGCGATGGTGGGGACATATATCAAAAATTGATAATCGGCGTTTCCGCGATGCCAGCTCAGTTTTGGCGCGAACGCCGTAGAGGGTACATCGGTCTCGGGGTTGTGTATTTCTTTTAGGGTTTAAAAGTGAAAATTTAATAAATTGAGTACATACTTTTTACGTATAATGTATTATAAAGATGATTCATAGTGTGTTATAGTGAAATAAAGAAGTTTTTTTATAAAATTTACTCTAAAATGGCAATTCGGTGGGTGACGCTAAAAAATAAAAGAGACGCTATTGTTATTTTTGGCGTAATTTTTAGTTACATAGAAATGTTAATTGTCAATAGAATAAATTTGATTAAGTTAATAATAAATTAATGTGAGTGATATGTGCAAAATTAAGACGATTAAATTTTTTAATTAATACATAAAGAATGTACTGCGTTCGGAGCGTTTGAAAGTCAGCCATGTTTTGTTTACCGCGTCGCTCCAATTTGAAATTTTAGAAATCAACTTGCTGCAGATTATCCAGCAACTTTTATGGTATGTTTAAGTACACATTTACATTAATATTCTATTATGCTAGATTAGCTAATATAATACCATTTTTTTTTTGTATATACAAAAAAAAAAATTGAGAAAAAAATTCCGCGAATACTAACAGGCTTTTGTTTTTCTTGGAAATGATCTACTTACGTCCGTTCCTGGAATTTCAAAATGCTCCGACCTATTATTTGTAGGATTAGTTACATTTACCGGTGTTTTTAAAGAGATATATCGTTATAATTTAATAATCTGGATAAAGTTAAAATTTAATAAACATTAAAAAAATTTTTTTTACTACATTTTTAATTAATATTATTTTTTTCATGAATTAAATTTTATTCGAAAATTGATTGAAATCTTTTCTCAATATGTTCGTTTTAGTTAACAACCTGTACTATCATCGAAATATTTAATATTAATACACTGTGAATACCACACCAACGACAAAGATGTCGTTCGCTGTAACATTGTGTGATAACATTGACATTTTTGGAGTCACTAAATCCTAAATCATTCTTTGTTTATTTCAATACTGTGAAATATCGACTATCTATTGTATTACACAAAAACGATAGCTTTATGATATAGATTATTTTGCGATAAAATTTATTCCAAAAATGATGGGTTTTTTTCATTAGAAGCGATGTGTTTTTTTTTTTGAAAAAGCATTAAATGATCGTTCTGTAAAAAAAGGGATTAATAGAAGAATTGGGATAAAATTTATAACAATTATTATGAAATGTGGATGAAAAAAAAATCGAAGAGACGAGGATTATTAGAAGTAAAATTTATTTTGGTTCACTTGTATCTGTATTGCTTAAACCAGCAATAGTGAATGGACACTCTGAAGCTCGTTAAACTCAACCATTTGTTGTGCGTGACATTCGACTTCATTGCTACTATTTTTCTTCCTGTTTTACTCTCGTTTAGAATCGTCCATTGGTCTCATCTTTGAGTACTTCTATTATCATCATCATTTATTTGTCACATTAAAAAAGTCATATTTATCTTATTCGTTCAAAGAATATGAAATGTTTCATAATATTGTCATGTAGAAAGACATTAAAATTTATAATTAAACAGAAAAATTCTGTAATGAGAAAAAGAATTCAGTTAAAAATCAAAATTATAAAAATTTAATAATGTTATTACGTCTTTTGAGAAGTTGCGTTACAAGGAAAAAATATTTTCTTGCTCTGAAACTTGAATTCGCATTATCTTTGATGTTGGCTACTGTCTGTAGTATTATTAATTTCAGAAATTATAAAATTATTGGAATATCTTTACAGTGAAATTACTTTTTAATTTAATATGTTTAATGATTAATTAATTTTATATCTACATTTTTGATCTGGATTTTTAATCAACATAAAATGCAGGAATTTCGAAAAAATTAATTAGTTATGTCCAGAAATTATTGATTCATAATTTAAATATTAATGCAAAAAATTTTAGTTTAATGAGTCATTTTTTTTGGTAAGCTTAAAAAATAGAGATTACATTCCATCATTTATGCTAGTATTTTCATTCAAAATATTTCTCATTAATTCGCGAATTATTTTTTTAAAATAAAAAATAGTTTGATTGTGACAGTGCATAATTACAGTAGGTAAAAAAAAAATTCAATAATTAAGACAAATGATGAGAGAAAAAATGAGCTGTAATTTTAATAAATTATCATGATATTGTCTGGTAAAAATTTTTCTAATTAATTTCGTTTTAATTAATGTCAACGTTATAATCAAAAGTATTTAGTAAATGATTATTTTCAATGAAGTATTGTAAAAAAAAAAAAAAACTAACTAACTTGTGTATCATACCATAATAATTGTGTACACTCGTGTCAAGTGGTTATTGTTGAAAGTAGGTAATAATAAAAATGTATAAAAAGAAAAGCGCGAACAGTTAAGTCTCAGCTACACCACAATCGTTTCAACCCCTTTAACTGTCAGTAAATTTATGGTCACGAAAGGTTGTTGTATAACGACGGCCTCTAGGTACCCAAGTGACTTGAAATAACGGAAACTCATTTCTTTATGGTGCCCATCTCGTTTGGAAATAAAAGCAAACTAGGATTGAAAGATCAAAGGAAAATAATAGTGTGAAAGGAAAAGATGTTCTTTTTTTTTTTTTAATCTTTATTTGAGTAAAGCTTTTATTCAGAATACTTTTTATAGCAGAGTAAAACGAAAAGCTCCGGTATTTTGCGATTTAAATTAGGTATATTCAAATTCGTCGTACTTTGTTCCACGACTTAATGCATCGTGTCGTAGCATAGGAGATCTAGTTTGAAGGTTGAGTAAAAAATGCATGATAGACGGAGTAAAAAAAAAAACGGTGCCTTCTTCCTGGAAAACTTTATAGACCAACTAGCCTTATTTAACACTATCCAATTACTTTATTAATAGAAACTTATCAATGAATGTTTTAAAGCTTAGTGTCTCGACAAATGATAACATATATTTGTCTAGGAATTATGTGAGAAACAGTTGTTATACGAAGAAGCATTAATTTATAATTTGTAAGCATGAGAATATGCTAACGGATTCGAGAAACCAAATATCCTTAGAACATAAACTCTAGCTAGTTGCATGCTGACCTCAATAGTTAGCTGACTTATAGCAAATGTGCTGTTTATATCTCGTTAAATGAATATTTGTCTGTCATATCAGATACGATTTTATTAATGGTGACAGATCAAATATAAAGAGGTATTATTGTTTTTGTGTGAATATAACTAGATTGAATAATATACAAACATTTCATCTCTAATTTAATCTAATGTCTTTGATGAAAATTTTAGCATGAAGGATAATAATGTTTCGCTATTTTTCTTTCCTTTAATTTGTCCCATTGACGATATTTCATCGGGTAAATATAACATACCTACCAGATGGTAATCCCGCAATGTGATGACGAGATGGAAAGATCTACCTCCGTTACCGCGACCCTTCTTCGGTATTTCCAATTACGTGAAATTACTTTAGATATTAATAATACCTGCTGATATTTACGTTGTTGCCTGTGGCGTTTTGTTGTAAATAAAATAGCACGTTTTCTTTGGTTGTAGGGTGCTAATAAAGCTTATTAGGTAGTGGTTTCGTGCTACACAAACTTGTATTCACACATTTATGTTAGCTAAAGTGTGTACGTGGGTGTAAGAATGTATATGTTTTGCGGTAAAAAAGATAAAAAAAATCATTATAAAAATCTCTGTAAAGATTTTCTTAAGCTATTCTATGATACATCCAATTCGCGATAAATTTATTATTAGGTCGTGTTGGGAAGCGAGAAAGGAAATAGAGGATGTTGGAATTGTAATCATTTTAATATATATATTTTTTTCAATTCAAGAAAAAAATAGGTCAATTAAAAAAATATTCATTAAGGTTTTATGAAAAGACAAGTAAAAAATATTATTAATTATCCATGAGTATTAATTGTTTTTATTTCATCAAAAAGATGTTACAGTATTATAATTTATTAATTTTCATTTCTCTTGCTTTATAATAAATAGTATGGGATTATTACAAAATGAATTATTTTATCACTTTTGTTGATTAAAATAATGGAAAATTCAATTAATTACTTGGATGATCATATAAAGTTTTACTTATTTTATAAAAATATATATCTTTTTTTATTTTATCTTGAACTGAAAAAAAAATTGATCAATATGAAATACATCCTTGTGAATAATTTGCTAAGATGTAAAAAAAAATCAACGTAAACTTGAGTGATTCGTAAACTCATCTCAAATATGACATCAACCGACAGAGATAATGAAGCTGCGAATATTTTCAATTTTTTTTTTTGCAATAACATTTAATTTAAATAATCGGTATCTACTATTTGGAATGAACTTTGTCGATTTATATATACAAATATTGAAGCTTTTGATTGAATTGACATGATGATCTACACATGTCCTCATATGAATGTTCATTGTCAAAAGATAATAGAAAATGACCGAACGATCAAAGTAGATCAGAATCCATATACACAATGCAGTTAGTGAATCGTTGAATTAACGAGACAGTTTAATTACATTTTTTCGATTTGTCTACATACGACGAGGATTGACATGTTGTCAAGACAAACAATATATAGTTAGAAAAGTTAGTTGTTGATTGTCTAGAAACTGTAGGTGATTACAGGGCGGAGAACTTGGTTGTGTAACTTTAATACTATCTATCACGCCTTCGTTCGTTCTTCTTTCTTTTCTTTTTCTATCCATTTTTCAGGCCAATGTTCGATAGAACCTCATGAAGATCAATTGTCTCTGATGACGAAGGTCTTGCTATATTACCAATTTTCTCACAAGAATTACATTTTTTCCGATAAGTTTTTGTCTGTTTTTAGCCTTTGTATGTTGCAGTGATCATTTATCAGTCGTTTTCAAGTGCAATTTACATGATACATTGTAACACACAAAGTTTCTATCGACTCTCATTTAAACTATGCGATGTATAGCGTGAGCGTTATTTACAATGTGAGATATTAAGCAGAGAAACCACGTTTTCGTGTGATGCCTCGAATGCTTTGACGATGAAATGAGAGGGTGAAAGCCTCAAACCGGCCACGTTCCGTCGATATTTTTTACGAGGTAAAATGGGTAGCCGGGTTTACGCCATCAGAATAGAATATGATGCCGCAAAAGAAGAAAAAGACACACTGCGGGGGATGATGCATGCTCTAAAAGGTGGGGATAAGCCTGAAGAACGTTTGTACGCTGTCTAAAGGAATCCCTTTATGTAGTCTAAGAAAATCCTGTAGTAGGTTCCTTGGTGCCAGTCCCTTCCTGCTACCTGTAACTATAGATAACACTCCTTAATCTTCATTTACTTGGTTCTTTTTTATTCATCATCATTCATCATACCTGCAGCACGCGCTATACACCAGTAATATGTTGACTATCGCTTTAAGCCAAGTTGAAACAAGCTATGAGATCGTGATTCAATGCACCCAGTTGATGTGTAGAGTCACTAGAGGTGGAT